ATATATGCAGCTCCAATGCTGCAATAAGAACTGTTTTACATTAAGATTGGCTTTGTGCTCATCGAACAAATTCTTCTGTTATATTTCACCTTATGCTTTACTGTAGATTTTGTATTCTTTGACATTCACTGGATTGTTTACACAGCTTTGCAGTTCAGCTTTTTAGTTTCATCAGTCAACAAATTGGTGTGGCAACAGTGGTTTACGTAGTCTGCAACCAGATGGGTTACTGATAAGGAAGTCATATAATTATCTTTAGCATAGTTTTTTTTATGAACAGTTCTCAACAATTGGGACATTACAGCTTCTTGTTGTTGTCGTCATCATCGTTTGTAATACTACTGAATAAAATTTACATTAACATGAAATGGTGAAGCATGCATTAGTTAATTTTCAAACAAGTCTACAACTCAACTGCTTATAAGATTTAGCCCTAAAATAATGAGCATTGGAACACAAATTTATCTGACAATAAGATATTTGACAAGAACCTATTAGCATTGAACATAATCGCCATTTAGATGACTAGTAAAATTCATATAAATACATTTTAAAGAATATAATGTAATGCATTAAACATTAATCCAGATATGCACACGAATATTGCTGCCATGTTTTTAGATGCATGGTATGTCAGCCCACCTCTAAGAGTTTATAGTGAATAAACAGCACAAAACATCACATGATTCTAGTTATTTATAGTGCCTTCAGAGTTGGATTTGCTGTGTGCATCAATGAGATTAAAATTGTTCATCCTCCTCTAGCTTATGGTTTCATTTTGAATTAACAGAATTTGTAAATATTTTTTCTGTTTCATCTTGCGGGTATTTTATTGGGCTAGATTCTGCACAAGTTTGTGTGTTAATGCATCTGCTAACACATGCTTGCTTGCAAGACACCTGTTGCAATGCTGGTTTTAATCTTTGGAAATGCTGCCAATCAAGAATGACCTCAAGACATCAAAATAAAGAGGGAGATGGCTGAAAAGGGCCATAAAGATAATATAGTGTAGAAACCATTGAGGTGTTCTCTTATCCGAATGCCCACTTGAGGCATGATCTTTCCAAGTTGACCATGGGCTCCTAACCTAGGCTAGTTCTACTGCTCATGCATCTAAAAGCACAATTGAAATAAGCTGCTTGAAGTTTTGCGTTTCTTATTTTTGTAAATTTATTTGTATTTCTGATGGGTGATCAGGCATATTAACTTGTATTCATTAATTGTTTCTGATCAGGCTCTATATGATGCTTTGATGAGACAAGAGGAACTGCTTGCATATATTGACCAGCAAAAGGAGGCTAAATTTCGGGTAAGTTACAGTCAACTAAATATGCCTTTAACCAGTGGTTTTTTTTTTTTTGCATGTTTATTTTATGTGACTATTTCAAATGGAAGATTTAACTTATTATATGGTTTCATCAGTCCATATGTTCGATTCCTTTTATTCACACTAGATAAACTCTCAGCTTTGGTTGGTAGTCTTGTTTGTCTATCTGGAACATCTTTTGAAGAGAATTTAGATATTCATATACCACCCAAGTCCTGGCTAACACGTGAAACATATGGCTTCTATTTTTTCAGTGTGTGCTCCTTTAGGTTAATTCTCTAAATTAGCTTATTGCTGCCGTCAGTTGACTAGTATGAAAGTACCCCAATCTCAAGCGATGAAAACTACTTTTGAACAAAAGGAAACAATATGACAAATAATCAATCAGGAAGTTGCCTTAATTTGGAACTGGTTGAATTTTGGTCCACTGTCGGTTTGTCTCTCAGAACACTCATAAGATATCTGGTTGAAAAATGTGATTGTGTAAGTGATTTAGGTGATCATCTCTTTTATTATCACTGGCACTACAAGATCTAGGGTAAAAGAAAGCATGAAGTGTGTGTCATCAGGAGTGGACCAGCTTCGATCACTATTAACCTTTAAGAACAGGAATTATTATATATGAAACCCAACTGCTCGAGGTCAAAGAAAACATCACTTATATTGAATTACAACAGTAATAATAGCATCCATCTGTCATTTTCAAGAAAACAATGGTTGATGATGAAGGCGAGGAGGTGTTCTTTCCAATCAATTTGTTCCTTCTTTTGTAATAAATTTTTTACTTGTTAGAGAGGATAGCAACTCCGTCCCGGTTTATCTTTGAGGTTGTGTTTGAGTGTTACTTCATTAAATGTATTGCAATCTTGAGAAACATATATTGAGATTATCCAGTGTCCTTGAGTAACATTTGGTGCAACTAGATAGTTGTTCTCGAGAGATATCATCATTCTGTAGTATAGATTTATATGATGCTTGTGATTTCCTAATTACTTTTTTTCCTGCCGTTCTGTAGAAGAAGAAATGTTTTTGCTTTTGAAGCATAACATCGGCACCAAATGACACGACAACTTGTTCAAAATGGACTATATGATGTAATAATTTCCCAATTACTTCTTACCCCTCTGTTTTGCAATAGAAGAAAATTTTCTTTGCAAGCATAGCATCAGCGCAAATGACACGGCCAGTTCGCTCTGCAGTTTGTATTTAGTTTGAGACCACAAGGAACTTCCAACGAATATAGATTGTGAGATTTTTCTGCTTAATTAGATTGGGATTTGCTCGCTTGCTTGAATTTTAAATCTTCGTCACCAGTAACATCCGGAAAGAAGTGGCATTCTTATAGTAATGCACCTTATGTAATTCAATGCTAAACAAGATCTCGGGTTAATTAGATATTACTCTTGTAGTTAAGTTTTTTTTTAGCATCCTGATCCTTGGATTTAAAATTTTATATTAAAATTTTTATAATTATGAAAATAAAACATGTAGTTTCATTTATCCTAACATGGTTGGTTTTATTGATAGAAGCATGAAGATGATGAGTAAAACAATAATTTTAATATTTTAGTTATGTTTTCGATGGTGATGGATGACAAACGTCGTTGGAGCTCACAGATGATTGTTGTGGATGAGGAGGGAGAGCGGCAAGTGAAGTTAAGGTAAAGGGAGGAAGAAGAGGACGTTACATATGTCAACGCTTTGTATCTACATTGATGTTGTTCAGCAATTGTGTTGGTGACTAGAGAGATGCAATGTGGTGGTATTGATTAGCCTTGTAGGCACTCCAAAGCACACATCTAATCGTTGGAGCATTGCTCAACTGTCCTTTTTCACTATCGAATTTTACTCCCGAAGCTTGATGGCAAACCAAATGCGATCGTGAGGGCCACCCTTAGTGGTAAGGCCGTGATTGTTGCCTGGTGTGGACCAACATGCGAACTACCACTTCCATGTACCATTGTCCGCGTCGCAACCCCATCGTCTGACTCTAACCTAACAAGACAACCTTCATCCTCTCCTCAACCACCCCATGTCGTACCTTCGTGATCATCCGTCGAGGATCTATAGGCTTCTTCACCCAAGGCGCCATCTTAGACTCGGAGGTGGAGAGGCAAGAGCTAGAGGATGAGGAGGCCATGAAGTGCAAATGGGAGGTAGCAAGATCGGGATTACGGGAAGTACAATGGGGGCTGACTTGTCACGAACTTACGTCGGAGATACCCCAGCCAGCATCGAGGGAGTGGCAAACATGGTGAAGCATGAGGAAGTTGGCGCTATGAATGAGCGCATCATAGGCCCAACAAAGAAAGGTCGCATCTGGCTCGAGTAGACCACTACTCTATATTTGCATTGTCTTCTTTCTCTCCCTTTGCCTCACCTCTCATTGTCGCTCTCCCTCTTCATCCACAACAATCACTCACGACCCACAACGACGTTATTGTTTGTCAAAGAATATTGAAATTATATTTTTGCTCATTGTTTTCATACTTTCATCGGTAAAAGCAACAATGTTAGAATAAATGAAACTATATATTTCACTTTCATAATTATAAAAATATTAATAATTTTATAATTATAAAAATATTAATAATCTAGAGACCGAAACATTAAAGAGATCTAACTACACATGATGATTTATAATTAACTCCAAGATCGATCTACAATACTTGTAGACTCGTCAATTTGCTGGTGAGGGCACAGATGCTGATGCCCCTGCAATTAACTGCCCTGCTTTTGCCTCTCGCAGCAGAGTAAAAAAGTGATCATAATCAGAATGAGTCCAAGATGGATTTGATCGATCATCTGCTATGAATTATAATGATACCTGCCCTTGCATCAGTGGTTGCACCACAGGTTTTTAGCTATGAATTGTAGTGGTGGATGAGGTCTTCTTGCCCAAAATACTTTTGTGGCGGTGGATGGGATCAATCCCATGTTGTTTCTTGCAGATCGATACGATACGATACTCTCATCAGGCACATCACTCACTATCAGTAGTTATCAGCTGTAGAAGTCGGTTCAACCTAAGCAAGCATCCTTCGTTTACGAGACTTGCAATAAGAGATTAGGATTACTATGCAATATACTAACACAAACTAGGTCAACTTTCTCCATTGAAATCAGAAACGATGGTTTTTGAGCTTAATGCATTTGATGCAGGACATCGACGTTCTTGTTGATTCAAAAGTTCATGGAGATCAGAGAGACTTCAGTTAAATCATTCTCATAAAATCATACAATTTAATGATTCAAAATACATAAATGTTCTAAAACCATAAACACATCCAACGATTAAATGCATGGTTTACATGAGTTAGAACTAATAAAGGAAAAACAATGCACCCAAAATCGTCCGCAGCAAGTTGAGGATTTTGGACCTAAAATCTATTCCACATATTCTTGAACATTGTAAGGCTTGAAGCCATTCTTTGAATTGTTCTAGTAACATTAAGTTATCTTGTTGGTGCTATTTCAGCAAGTTTAGATTAATGATGGATTGAAACTAAAAAGTAATTCTATCAGAACATGAAATGGTTACACTGTTCACAGGATGCACTAAGACAATGAAACTAACTGATCATATCCCAGTAGAGGGTAGAATGAAGCATAAGCAATCACTCTTTCCCACTAATAGGTTTCTTGAGTATTTTGAGTCACATCAATCAAGCACTGGCAGGAAAAACTTGAGTTATATAACAATTCGTGTAGCCGAAAAAAAGAAAAAAGAATTACAAGGTTCTTCTAGCTGAATAAGATTATACACATGAAAAGTATTATTCGAATCCGAAAAACATGAGAAAATAAATTTGACCACAACAAAAGCAGAGTTCCCAGCCATGCAAATTTTGATCTTTCCAGTATCAAAACCTATGAACCACAAAGTACCAAGCAACAAACTTAATCACAACCACTGCAAGGAAACAAGACGAGACCATTACCAACAGCATTGATATACTTATCAAAATTTCAGATGTATCAAAACCACTACTCGATTTCCTTTAACATATAAAACTATGACTCTGTGACCAGTCTTGATGGGACATCATTAGAGAAGTCTTCATTAAAGAACATCCATCTGATTCTGTGTCACCAAGATGCAAAATATTAGACCAAGCATGAGTGATAACAACAAAAAACCTACTATCCAGAGAAGCAGAAAAGAAAAGGAGAATGCTCTAAAGAAGCATATATTATCTTAATAAGAGAGCATCAAGGGCTTTTAGTACATCATTAACCTTTTTATCTTGGTAAAGAAGCACAAGATTCTTACATAAATCCAATGGTACTAATACAAATAGCAAGTCAAAGGCACATGAACTGGCTATTCCCAATAAATCATGAAGAAATTTGCTTCAGCTATTGAAGGTTCAAGTGCTACATCAAAATGCTCACCATAATGCTGATGAAAACATCAGAAAGACAAGAAAACCAGTACTTCCAAGTATTGTGTGTGTGTGTATATATATATATATATATATATGCAAAAAAGGAATTCTTTTCTTCTCCATCAATTCAATAAACAGTAAAATCAAAGTAGGTTTCTAACAGAGTTAAAATGTGCAAAAGCATTAAAGAGGAGAAAGGTGCATCCTGGAGTTTCCAAATGTACACTAAGATAAAATACAGGTACAACAAAAAGACAAGAAAACCAGCACTTCCAATATTTTTATCCTGAGCAAGAACATAATTCTCTTTATCAGCATAAAAGAAATTTTAATATCTCCATCAATGGAATAGACAATAAATTCAGAGTCCGTTTCAAACAGAGTTTAAAGATGCAAAAGTTTTAAATAGGAGAAAGGTGCAACCTTGAGCTTCCAGATTCACGAATATACACTGAGATAGACAGTGCCAGGTTTTGCTGCTTTCCAGCTTTGATGAAGTTGCATCATTGAGAAAATTCACATAAGTAATTTAGGTGGATCAACATATTTGTTCTAAAAGATCAAAGATGACAATAAAGACTTCTAGTGAAGTTCCAAGTATTATCTATACAGTTTCCATTATGAAATCTTGTATATGTAGATAACTCAATGCTTCTATTAGAGGATTCCGTTGCAATGTAAAGACAGTGACCTATTCAGAAAACAAAGAAGTAATGAAGAAAAACTACATGGATCAACAGCATGGATGACATGAGGGGGCGAAAAGGAAAAAGAAACAAGACAACAATAGCAGGTATAACCACTCCTGCACATATTTGTGAAGCTGCAAGCTTACAAAAACTCAGCCCCTTCATATCCAAAGGATTCCTAATTGTTTACAAGAAAAAGCAATAAGTGACATATTGCATGACAGTTCCTTCCAACAAGCATATTCCTAAAATGTTATATCCATTTTCAGCAGCCAGGAGTCGTGAATTTCAAAACATGCCAGACTTCTGCATTATTTCTAGAAACTACAAAATCAGCTCTGTTTGTAAGATAATTTTAACAAGTTCACCTCAGAAGACCAAAGATTCTTCTTCGCATATGAAAAAAGGAGAGATAAAGAGTGAGAGAGAAGAGAGGGGGCAAGGCAGTTTGGTCAAATCACTATCCAGATTTTCATAATACTTCTCATGCCAATAATTTACCGATATCAATCTTTTTGTGATTAATTAGAATTGCCTCAGCTCGTAAAGCATGTAGACTTGATCATTTTCTTCATTGTTTAACCAACAAAGTAGAAGATCATGCAATTCAAGAAACAAAAAGCAAACCACCAAAGCAATTATGCAGAGAAATAAATTCTTAATGGTTTGCAACCTAAAATTTTGAAATTGATTAAGAGGTTTATCTCTCACAGTATACAGAAATTTAGCTGAAACTAACTTCAGGAACCAGAAACAAATGGTAGCATAATAGTTGAGTCTCATATCTAAACTCATTATCTTGTTAGTATAACTGACACGATATCACATTAACAATAGTCCTTTGATTATTGGCATTGTTGAAGAATTTTAGTTCTACTCAAATCAATGTAATCCCTACCTTACACGAAAATTTTGAATTTTGCTAAATCATTGCGAACCCTGTGTATCAAGTTTTTACCTTACTTTCTCTTAAAGAAATTAATCTTAACATTATCTCAAGTAGCTGAGTAGAGCTTGTTTAATTTCTTGCAGCCCTCTATTAGTTTTCAAATTTTGTAGAGATTACATTCAGTCAAGAGCTTTTCTTATGCCACTGTCCTCAAGTTGCTAAGGAATTGTCTCGACCCTCTTCCCGTAAGATTGGCAATTACATTGGCTGTCATATTTAAGTGAGCAAGCTGTGTTTAAACATTTAGTATTTCTTATTGAATTGGCAGTTTAATGAGTTGCCATATGTGGTCCTCTAAATTATGGTATATAGTTCCTAGGCATCTTAAATTGAATTCACAAATGTACGATGAACACCATGGACAGCTAATCATCATGTTCTTATGTGTGGTGAACAAGTTCACCAAGGCAAAATAATTTCCTGATCACATAGATAGAAGAAACAGATCTAACAAGCACAAGATGAAAGTCTGACCAAAGAGCCACACTCTACTAAGAAGGTAAAAAGGTCTCGGACTAGAAAATTTACCTGAGCTTATCTCGTAGAACATGCAAATACATCAAGCAATCCACAACAATTCCACCATGTTGCGTGATGCACAACCGGTGCGGCACCAGGCGACACCTACATACATCCAAGTGATTCCCCAGTCAGCACACTAGTTTAGTTCCATGAAAGGAGTATGGCAAAAGTCAACTTTAGCACCTCAACAGTCGGCAAATTTTCAGCTTTCCCAGCAACACAGCGGGCGTCGCCACTCTCACCAAGCTGATCGACAGCCTCATCCGCATCAGGAAGCGGCACTTCTTTCACTCCGCCTGAAGTCTCCTCAAGAACCTTAGCAGCAACCTCATCAAGACGTCTATCCTCTTCAGCCAAAGCGACAACCTTTTCAACAAGAACAGCCGATTCCTCGGCTACTTCCTCATCTTCCTTCTCAGATTTAGGGAATTCGACAACCACATCCTCCGATTCAGCGAAGGACTCGACCGTAGTGGTATAAGCTGGTTCCTCTACAGCAACGAGGGACTCAGCTTCAACTTCCTCTGCCAAGGCCACTCCTTTGCCGCTCTCCGCTGTGCTATCAAACACAACAGCATCAGATCCTAACAACTCCTCGGCAGATCGAGAGCGATGGTGCTCCTGAGATGACGAAGACGATGAGGAAGATGTCGGGGATCCATCGTCGCTCTCCTTGCTGTCCTCAGCCGGCATCAACTCATCGTTATGCCCACTATCTGAAGAATAACCAGATATATACAAACGAGTTCAATAAAGAAAACATAGATACGCATAAAACCAACATCAAAAGGGCAGAGAAAGAAGAAAAAGAAGTCACCTTGAGAAGAAGGATCGGCAGAAGGGAGGGCCATCTCCTTCTTGCGCCTGGCCGCCTTCCGCTTCTTCGCACCAGACGGCATGACGATCGATCGATGGATCCAAATCTGTGGATGATACACTCTTCTTCTCCCTCCTCTTCCTCGAACTCAAAATCAAATTTTTCGTGTAGCAAAAAGGATCAAGAATCAAGAAAGCGAGGAAAAGTGGGAGCTTAAAGGGCGTTATGGTTGACCGTGGTGTAGTTAGGAAGGGGGAAGAGATTTAATTGGGAGGAAAACAGGGGATGGGCGGGGAGAGCGGGAGAATTGGAGTCAAGGAGAGCAGACAGAGACAGGGGAGCGGGCCTACTGGCGTACAGGTGGTGGTGGTGGTGATGGTGTTGTCTGCCTTCTTTTGTCTTGTTCTGTTCTCCGTTCGCCTCTTTTTTACCACCTCTTGATTGAACTACACGAAGTCGAAAGAAGCAGGGGAAAGAGGGATCGCGACGGAGAAGACGAGTCCAGAGACTTCCCTTCTCCTCTTATATTCCTCTGTGGTTGTTCACAGCCCCTTCTGCTTCAGAGAGAGAGCAACGAAGAGCGGAGGAAACCTTTGGGCTTCAGTCTTCCCTTGTCTTTTTCTTTATTTATTTTGTCACAAATATTTAATATGTATAGTTCTCAAAAATTAAGATATAATATTTATTCCACCAATTTTAGTATAAACAAATTATTTAGATATTATAATATATTCCTTCGGATATCTTAATCTTTCATAAATATGTTATTTTTCTATTCTATTATGAGTGTCAATATGTTTGTAAAACATCTAGAATATTTCAAACAATTCCATTGATTATTGGTCGATTAACATGAAAAGCCACTGTTTTGAAGTTTTTCTTGTGCTCTGATTTTTAATTTTTATCTTTATTTTATTAATACCTAAATAATTTTTATCATTGTCATTTTCTCCGAATAACCATTATCAGTTACCACTATCGTCCGACCGTGATTGTCTTTGGCCCTTTATAACGTAATGCTCGTATCTATCTGATCATGTTGTCTCTATTATTTATTTTTTTAATTTTTACTCATGTATGTCTCGTTAGAAAGAGATCTATAAAAATAAGTGATCCAAGACTTTTCTTCGTATCATCAACAGTACGCATGATATTATCATTGTACTAACATTTGTCTATATTCAAAATTATAATATGAATGATCCATCGACGTCTAATTGAGAGAAAGAAGTGATGAAGTTGAAATAGAGGACACAAGCGATAAAAAAAACCTCATGGGATGGATACGATCATCACACACAAAAGACGACTACGATTGAACAAAAGCAAGAACATGACATCTTCTAAAAAAATAAAAAGATGACGATGATGAAATGATTAAGATGTTTAAGATATTAGAGAAAGACAAAGTATCAATAAAAAAAACATGATATCTTCTAAAAAAATAAAAAGATGATGATGATGAAATGGTTAAGATATTAAGATATTAGAGAAAGACAAAGTACCAGATAAAAAAAAACATGACATCTTCTAAAAAAATAAAAATAAAAAGATGAAGTTTTTCATCAAAATCTTTGATTATTTGACTTGCTATATCAAATATTCAAAACAGATATACAAATAAACTTAAGCCACGTCAATGGATCCAAATACATATCATTAAATTAAATGGTCGATGTCCATGAGATCATCTTAACCACAATTTTCACTTAGTTATTTTTAAAATATATCTTTAATATTTATTTATTAAAATCATATATATATATATATATATATATATATATATATATAAAATTTTCAGATGATTCGTTGGGTCTGCATGCTGTCACGAGGGTGGTGGCACACTTGTGGCCTCGATCGGCGTGCATGCACATCATTTATTGCTGTATTATTGTCCCCTCATGATGGATGAATGGTCGTACGTATATGCATACATGTACTTGAGCAGTTCCATAAAAGAATAACATATCTCCCTCCATGTCCTAAGTGAAGACGTTGCATGACCCACACGCGAATTTGAATCCCACTCTCCTACGATGATTTCGACATATAGGAAAATATAGTTTCGTAAGATGGGATCGGAGGTTCCCAAAAGCTACCACATGGCATAACGTGATGATGTACGTACTGAATCATGCCGACACTATACGAAAATATATAAGATAGAAATATAAAATAATATGTTTCATTAATATGAAAATATATGTGTTTTTTAAGAAGATATTTTGAGTGTTGTCATGTGATTTCGATTATCATTTTTGAGTCGAGTGATCGATTTGATTTGGTCTTAATCTCGTTTATACAAAGAAATCTAATATTATGAAGTATTCGATATTATGTTAAACTAAAATTATTATTATTATTATTATTATTATTATATATATATATATGTGTGTGTGTGTGTGTTAAGGGTAATCATTATCGATGTTTGAATCAACCCGACATGATCCAAACCCAAAGACATATGAGTATCTAAAGTGGCTCCGTGATAATTCCCAAGTAGTCTTGAGGTGATACTTATATCAAGGTCAATATCGAAAAAGATTTTTTGACTTGATTCTTTTTCAACTTAATTCTTTTGATGTCCAAATTAGTTCAAAGTCCTTTTTGAAATATAAATTTTTTTATCAAAATGAGAGCCTTCTAGCACAATGTCCAAGGTTGATTTTTATACCTAGTCGATGGGGGGATAGTTTGCAACTATCCTAATATCACATTTTGACGTTTTATCCACGTGGGTTATAAGAAAGAGGTAAGTCCGAATAATCTTCCTTAGACTATTGTCCACGGGGGTAGAGTGGAGGATGATTAGTATCTTTTCTTCGTACACTATTCTCCATACGACGAAAGGTGTCAGATGATGATTGGCCATCAACATGTTCCTATCAACATGAAAATAATTAGTCCATGTTAGTTTTGCTACGTGGATGAGTAGGAATTATGTGAGTGAAATTAATCATTTGGTATCACAAGAAAATTATTTTATATTTAAAGTGTATAATAAATGATGAAATAATTATTTTCCACTAAATTCAATGCAATTTTATAATTTTATTTTAAAAAATAATTGCATTTCAATTAGCATATATGAGTAGACTGCTTCTTCTGATAATATGGAAAATATCCACCTCCACAAATTTGCAATCATTCTCAAAGTAATTCAACCATTTGGATTTACCACCAAATTCAAATCGATGCATCAAAAGAATCACTAACCATAGAGCAAGAAGAATTGGACATGATAGCCGAAGATGCATAAGAACATACAAATCGTGAGAAAGAAAATTCAGCAAAAGTAGATATCAGAATCATGGCTCAATGTATGATAGCTTCACATTCGAATGGTGAGCCCATGATGAACACCAGGGTTGAAGGCCCATCCTCCAACCCCATATGCCCATTATCCTGTCATATTAGCTTCAAACCAAAAGCTTATCTCTACTTGTAATCTTCAACATGATATATATATATATATATATATATATATATATATAATTTTCTTCAAAAATCTCTTTTTTTATATTTTAAAGTACCTATGTTTTTGTTTTCTCTAGATAATATCTTTTATTTTTATAATCTCATAAATACTCTTTTCTTTTCTTCTTTATCTATTGTCTTTGTCACATTCGTCCGCTCGTTGCCTTCGCCCTCTATTATGACTATGAGGCTTTGTTGTCATTGTATGATGCCCTTTTCCATCTATCGTGCATGTCACCTCTATCCTCTCGTATCATCGTGATATTTTATCATCTCTATGTAACACCCTTTCTTATCGGTTGCACCAATTACATTTGTAGAGGGGAGAGTGGTGCAATGGGTGAGAAAAAGAATTAACGGACATGAGATGGAGGTGACGTGTGTGACGGAAAGGACACTACATATAGGTGATAAGACTTAGAAACAGAGAGCATAAATGATTGATAGAGAAGGATTACGGTGTCAAGGGGGCAATGACGATAGAGGCAATAAGTAAGGAAGGGAAGAGTATTTATAAAATTATATAAAATAAGATATACTATCGAGAAAAATAAAAAAAATAGAGGATATTTTTTGAAAAAAAACGAAAAAGGAAAGCTTTTTAAAGGATTTCACCCATGTATATATATATGCAAATGCATCAAAAGCATTTGTTATTGACATCATCGATTGCATCATGTTGGATGATATACTATTAGATTATACTAAGTAAAAGTCAAACGAATGAAAAGTCAAAGAAATCGAGTTCACATTCAACGATCAAAGGCGACTCACCCGACTCGACGCTTTTGGTGCCACCGCTTCTCTAGAAACTCGACACCTGTCCTTCTCCCACCTCCTTTGGAGTGCAACGCCTGTCCACCCACGTAGCATTCCACATCCTTCCATGTCCGGCCACCGGTGCCACGAGTCAACTCCAGCTCAATCCATCTTGCACGTCCTCCATACCGATCTGGATCCGCTGACTCCCAATCTTCCGCCATAACTTTTGGGCCCGTTGTCTCTAGATCATGGAAGTTTCTCTTTGAGGCCTTTATGATGATGCATGCAAGACCGTCATAATCTTTGACCTTTTTTGTGACGTACCATTAATCTCGAGATGTATGTCGAAATTATTCGAATAATAATAATAATAATAATTATTATTATTACATTTTTGCTTTTAATTTTCTTACTCTGAGGGAGAACTGAGTCTTTATGCCACGTCAACATGGCCGGGCCCCGTCATTATGCGGCAGCTTACGCGGTGCCGAAACGAGAACGGAATTCCTTTTCACACGTGATCCGAGTTGACTCCTGTTTCTGCCGAACGCCAGTCCGAAAGACATCAGAAGTCAACTCTCTCTCTCTCTCTCTCTCTCTCTCTCTCTCTCCTTCTGCCCCTTTTCGCGCCTGTATATATTGCTCTGCTCTTTGTTGAGATCCAAAGCCATCCCCTTCTTCTTCTTCTTCTTCTCCAGGATAGACAATGGTCAATAGACAGTGGCGTCGCGGCCAGACCATCGGCCGCGGCTCGACCGCTACCGTCTCCCTTGCCGCCGCCTCCCCCTCAGGCCACCTCTTCGCCGTGAAGTCGGCCGAGCTCTCTCTCTCCGCCCACCTGCAAAGAGAGCAAGCCATCCTCTCCTCCCTCCACCACCCGAACATCGTGTCCTGCCTCGGCTTCGACGTCGCTGCCGAAGCCCCCTGCGCGCCGCTTTCCTACAACCTCTTCTTGGAGTACGCCCCCCTTGGTTCGCTCTCCGATTGCATGATGAAGCACGGCGGCCGCTTAGAAGAGGCTGCGATCCGTTCCTATACGGGCGGCATGCTCCGCGGCCTCGCTTACCTCCACGCGAAGTCCTTCGCGCATTGCGACGTCAAGAGCCAAAACGTCCTGATATGGCCGGACGGGCGCGCCAAGATAGCGGATCTCGGGTGCGCGCGCTCGATTGCGGGGGACGGCGACGCGGGGCAGCCGATCGCGGGCACGCCGATGTTCATGGCGCCGGAGGTGGCGCGAGGAGAGGAGCAGGGCGCTCCGGCCGACGTGTGGGCGCTCGGGTGCACCGTCATCGAAATGGCCACCGGGAGACCGCCGTGGCCCGACGTCGTCGATCCGGTCGCCGCCCTGCACCGTATCGGCTTCACATGTGACGTCCCGAAGCGCCCCACCTGGTTGTCGGACGAGGCCAAGGACTTCTTGGACAAGTGTTTGAGGAGGGACGCGAGAGAGCGGTGGCCGGCGGAGCAGTTACTGGAGCACCCGTTCGTGGCGAAGCCGAGTACAACTAGCTGCTTATCTGAGAGTGCTCTCGACCAGGAATGGATTTCCCCAAAGAGCACACTGGAGCAGGTCTTATGGGACTCTGTGGCAGACGAAGAAGAAGAAGACGAAGAGATGGAGGCGGAGGAGAGGATTCAGCAACTGGCCACGTCCGGCTTTCCGACCGCCAACTGGGCACAGGATGACGATTGGATCACAGTAAGGATCAGCGAGGAGGAATCTACTGCTGTTCCAGTAGATGGTGATGAAGACAACGTTGGATTTGGTGTTAATGCTCATCACAGTAATGCTGTAGCGACGGCAGAGGAGAGAGAATTATGTACACCTGTTAGATATGTTGATAATGAAATGTGTTCTTTGATTATTTGAAGCGTTTTCTCTTTTATATACACAGCTTTAATTTGGTTATGTGCTCGTCACTTCCAAGAAGCCACGGGCTTTTTGGGGTCCGGGAACAGAGCTTATGGCCATTAAAGACGCAGCTCGCTAGGTTGCAGGTCGCAAGAAGATGCCCATTAGCAACAATTACTACCTCAATCTATTAATCTCTCTCCATGCGGTGGATGCAGCTGGAGAAGCGTCGGTGCACTCCATTTACGACAACTTTTTGACGGCGCCGTTTAAAGATCTTATCAGAATCCAGCTGTGTCTGCGCATAAATTCTGTTCTTTTTCGAGAAGGAAACATGAGAAAGATCACTAGATCTGCACTGGAATCTAAGAGATCCAATTGCAAGTAAAATGTTTCTCCTTAATCAAAGTCAATCGCTTTGTCTCTGTTTCAGATCTTTCATCGCGACCTGGAAGCTTCATCGGCGCTACTCGGGGACCAAATCAACATGGCCTTCTTCTAGATTTCAGTTCATCTAGAAGAGGGAGCAGATGGATCCTAACCAGAAACAGAGCAGCTTACCGACTCCGTTGCCGACTCGAAGACGTTGCATGCTCTTCAACCTGTTGACTTTTGGTCGATTGTTTGCTTCGGTTGCGTTAGTTAAAGAAGGGTTTCAGAATCTTCTTCCTTCTTCTTTTCAAAGTTGACTTTTCATTTGAGGCAGCGGGAGGTCAACGAGATGTCAGCGAAGCAGGTCGTTCGGTTCACATCCTTATCCCAAGTGGCCGACGACTTGCTCCGAGTTCGGTCAGCTGCCACGGTTGATTACCAGTGTTTGTTCTCGCGCCAATTGCTCGAGTTTCTTATTTATGCTAGAGATATTTTAGTCACTTGTATGAGTTGACAAAGACGAAAAGACTACTGTATCCATATCAACCTGAACACTCTTTTCTTCACCCCAACTTGGGTTGGAAGGTTATAACAAGTCAATGGAAATGGCCAAATGCCAAGGAATTCATGACCAAGCACAGCAACATTAAGAATAATCCAAGTTTGGGCAATTATGCTATAATGGGCTCTTTTTGCTGCTTTTAGGCTCACATAAAGTCTGGTGTTTGCCTTTACCTCAGTGTTTGATCTTTATTCAGAAACATAATGTCTTCAATAAACAAAAGAAGATTAAAGATGTATCCAAAAAAATTTAGTAGATTATGCTGCTAGTTTCTTAGGTCAACTCTGCAGTAAAACTCTGGTTCTTGTTCAAGGTAAGAGGCAATTCCATCAGCATGTTCTACCTCATGTTGTCTCAGTGGCTTAGTCTCAAAACTACCAGAGTAATAAACATGACAGCGCAGTTCTTGCTCTCCTCGCAGTTTGAAGTAGCAGCCATGTTCTACCAAAGTCAACTCTGCTGTTTTCCAGCTCCACCTTGTCTCATCTGGTGAGGACACAGACACAGTCCTACGGCTGTACTAAGGGAAGGCAGTGTTTGCGTTGCAAGTCTACTTGTGTTGTGGGTTATGTCCGAGATTTGATGTTTGGCAATCACATTAAAATAGCTTTAATGCTTGGATTCAATAGAATCAACCAAACAAAACAAAACTCAGAAAGGATTTCTGCCTATTTCACAGTTGAAGAACATGGCCATAGAGTCTTTGTCACCCATTCTACAGCCTAAAACTTCATGATCTTTATGGTCGTTGATGTCCATATATTTCTTGGTGAGCTCTGGCATTGAGCTCAACCAAGCTGCCAAGACTACTGCTGCTTCAAGGTACAGCCAAAGAACCTCCCGCCAGCTGATCCAAATTGTTAGACAATCCAGCTTCAACTCTGCAGGACAAACAGGTGGAGATACCCTAAAGACTTGCAGCTGCAACAGGACAAGGTGATAGCAGGGCACAACCTGTACAAAACTATGAAGTCTGTACCCTTCATGCTTAATACTGTGTCTTTAACCAGTACCGTGATATCTTTTTGTGGGCAAAGCAACAGGCCAAAGTGGCCAGTGCCAAATCCCTAGGGTGTCTGTGACTGCTGATATCTTTTCCCCACCCCCACCACCCCCATGGATTCTAACCTTCTTTCTCTGAAGCTTTTGCCTCTCTAGCCCCCCTATCCAGGGTTAGATTATTCCCAGACTCGTCTTTATGCTGAGGAGAGAAGCTTTGGAGAGGATGAAAGACACTCCCGTGGCCACTGATGGCAACATGAATCACAAACACTGATGCAGTACTCCCTCCATTATCCTTCTGCAAGCAAAGCAAATGCCTGCTGCAGTTCACTCATCTGAGATGAAGTATCCTTGCAATGAACAGGACCTTTCTCCGGGAGGCTCTTGCCTCCGAGCGGCTGAATCACCCGGGGGAGGTTCACGGGTCGGTCCCAACACGTCAGCCGAAAAGGGCCACGTGGGGTCCAACGCAACAATAGCGATGCTCGCTGCACGCGCATGCTCGGGTGCACCTCCGCTTGCTGCTGCCGCTGCTGCTCATCAATGGCGCGTCGGTCGTCTCCTGTTCAAAATTTTCGTCTCCTCTGCTGCGCTTCTTTTACTCGCGCACGTCTCTCTCGATCTCATCGGCATTCGCGTCGGTCGTCCCGCTGCGCTTCACACACACACACACTCTCTCTCTCTCTTGCCTTTCTCGTAAACGTAAAAGAAAAAGCGAGCAGAGAGAGGGGGTGAGAGAGAGAGAGAGAGAGAGAGACAGAAGCAGAGAAAAGAACAAGAAAAAGGAATAGAGGAGACAGACTCGAAAGCAGAAATAACAGCTGACACTCTTTCTTTGCCCCCCTCCCTTCCTCTCTCTCCTCTATTTATTTTCTCCCCCACCCTTTGTCTCCGTCACTCACCAGAGATCCCAACCCAAGGAGAGAGGAGCAAGAAAACAGAGAAAGAAGCAAAGAGAAGAGGTGGGACGGACTCACCAGGGTCTCTTCCGGAATGTGGTCAGCCCTCGGGACCTCTCCTTCCCCAACAAGGAGGAGGAGGAAAAGGTCAGTGCACTGTTGCTAATCCTCTTCCTCTTCCTCCTTTGTCTCTTAAAAGATTCTTCGCGTAGAGTGGTGTTGTTTTTGTCATGTCGTTAAGGGTGGGTGGGAAAGAAGGAGGAAGGAGGCGGCTCTCCTCTTCTTCTTTCCTTTGCTTTTGATGCTATTTTGCTTCCTAGTAAGTATCATGATATGTGGTATGAGTGAATCCCTCTGGGGAGGGAAGGGACTTGTGGGAAAGAAACACTGTGAACTTTTGGTGGAGCTATTCATGTGGATGACCGCTGATTTCTCTTCTGACAAAGGTGAATATGTAGCAGGCAGACATAAAAGGAGAAAGAGAAGATTCAAGTGATCGCAAATGATGAATTTGCTGATCCCAAAAGTTTTACTTCTGTGGCCAACCAAGATGAGAAACCTGTGGGCTGACAGATGATACTTTGCAGTAGGAAGGATAATGTTCTTCAGGTTGAACATTGCATCAATCGATATATCATCTTACCAAGATGAGAATGATGATGCAAAATTCAAATATTTATCTGTATTTTCAGTTTAATGGATGATTCTGTCCAATGCTGATGAAAGCTAGTTAGTACGTTGTGATAGGTCAGCTAGAGTTGATCTTGATAAACTTGTGGGAATTGTGACAGAATTGTTTTCAGTGGAAAAGCAAAGTGTGGAGAGGCCATTGCTTTGACTTGTTTTTAGGCCTATCTTTTAGAGGTTGACTGCTTCTAATGGTTGTAGAGGAGAAGGAAGCTCTCAAGAAACTGGAGAATTGGTCTTCAGCAGATGGGTTGATCAACATAGACAAACCTTGCTGATGATGATGAGGGAGAAAGAATATAAAAGGCAAATGAAATATCAAGGGCATTAAACATAGTGATACATGGGACCCTAATGTCTGACATAACTTCCACAATAGTTGATGAGCTAAACACATTATGGACTTTGAGGAATGCCTTAAGATTTTGGAAGTTATGTTAATTTTGGAGTTTTAGGGAGAAATAATTATTTCCACAATAGTTATTTTCAAAGAATGTACAAAATGTGCTTATTACATTCTTCTACTACTTTGTACAAAATAAAAAAGAAATTATATTTCTTTGAGTGAAGGCAAATTTGGGTCAGTACATAGAAGCTATTGCCTCTTTGGAATGATCCTACTGAAGAGCTGGTAAAAGTCATCCTCTAGTTACATTATGTACTTTGGTTTGAATGAAGGCCCTAACATTATGTACATTCTCATTTGTGCTAAATATTTTACGGTACAAGGAATGTATATGTTTTATCATTCATACCTTAATAATTGTCATCTGGTGATTATCTATGTAGAGCTATGAAAACACTCAATATCTACCAATAATCCTTGTTTAAAGATTAAGCTTGTGCTTACCCTGTTCATAGCAATTGGAAGTACCCTTATTAAAGGATGTAATAAAGGTACTTCCAATTGCTATGAACAATTGGAAGTACCTTCATTCTCAATTGTAGTTTCTGATGTTGAGCCAGACAATTGAATGCCTCCATAACATATTATTCTTCATTTCTAGGTACCAAGATGATGGTGATCCAGGCAACAACAATGTGCTCCTGCAATAAGACACCAAATTCTCTAGTCCTTTTGATTCTATTAGTCAACATGAATTAGATAAGGACATGCTTGGAGAACTAGGGAATGAAGCCATTGGTCCGCAAGACATAAATATTTTGGGTCATTATAAATGACATTTCTCATCTATATTTCTAGTTCAGTTCAATGACATTCAGTTCAGTTCAATTCTCTTCCTTGTTGGTATTTACCTAGGTTTATACTTCAGTTCAATTCTCTTCTTGGGAGATGAATGCTGACAGGTAGCAACATATATCTTCACAAAAAACCAAGGTAGAATTCGGCCATAAATTCTATTCAGAGCAAAAAAACTTACTACACATGCCTTTACAATTTGATTTGGTGCATGTACTTCTTATTTGTATGATATGAATGAATGAACATGCAGGTTTGCATGTGTGTATCTTCTGCTAATGCCGTCAGAGAAAATCAACAAACAAGTCCAATCTAATGTAAATGTTTTGTTACCTCAAAATATGTAGCTGTGGCAACTTGAGACGTATAATTATCTGTTGTTATCTCAACATATATTTCCTGAGACAAATGCATATACAAAGCTGTGTTGTTGAGAACTGTAGGTACCAATTGTTGTAGAGTGTCTTAGTCAATACAAGAGATTTGTTAACTCACCTTCATGCAAGTACAAGCATCTACAGCTTCTGGTGACCAAGGGCTTCATGACCTCTTTGACAATCCACCACAGCATGCAAAATCCAATTGATTGTCAGGTTCCTTTCAAGTGAGAGTTCTGAGTCATTGATCAGATAATACTTGCAGAGACAACAAAAGATGGTGAAGACTGCAAAATCCAATTGATTGTCAGGTTCCTTTCAAGTGAGAGTTCTGAGTCATTGATCAGATAATACTTGCAGAGACAACAAAAGATGACGAAGACTATATATCCCGAATAGGTTTTATGCTTGCAAGATGGACCCCGAATAGCTTTTATACTTGCAAGATGGACAAGTCTATACATTTGTTAAATAAGGCCAGAATAGATAGCACGATAAATTACAATGCCCATCTAACTGGTCCGAACTGGTTCTTCTTAATACACACGTGAGAAGAGTAGAAGAACTACAAGATTCGGCTTTGTGAGTCAGCATGTGGAGTCAATAATCATTCTGTCTTTCAGTTGCCTTAAAATGCTACAGTTCCTGCATAACAAAATAACAGGTCCAATATAGTCATGCAAGACCATGTAATCATGCAGAAATTATATCATTTATCACAGAAAGGATGTTCCTTGATGCAGAAGTCAAGAAAAGGGAAAGCATGACAAACATTTGATATATTCAAACACGGTCAGACGGTTTATTAACTGGGAAATCTTCAGCTACATAAGTATTAAATGTCCTTGGGCGGATACACTTGTGTTACGCGGCCGAAGAATATACCACAGTGTCTTTCAAGAGAAACAATTAGTACCAAACAAGAGTTGTCAGACAAAATGATATATAGGCAATATCTTCTAGGAGAATATACCAAGCAGCAATCATATCATGAAAATGTGCCAGGTTAGAAATCACTAAAATTGAAAAAAATAGAATCCTTTTCTGAGAATGATGACTTCATATTAAGTAGAAGATCACTGAAAAAATTTCCATCCCCAGATACAAAATTTGAAAAGAAAGCAATTGGAAAGTGAAGGCAATTGAGGTGAGGTTGAATTGGAACAGTGCATATGCTCATTTTTTTCATCACATAGAAACATTGCAAAATGGCCATGAAGAGCTGCATGATGCATAATGGTGGTAAATCAATGACACTGTAGAATGAGCACAATGGCATAATTGCTCACTGTGACTGCATAATAGCCACAAATAACCAGAGATATACTTGCTTGTGGATGCCTTGTGTATATATAAATGAACTTTTGCCAATGTCTACTCTCATTTTATGTCCGGACAATGTTATCCAAATTGCAATTATAGCTATTACTGAGTTGATTTAGACTGTCCAGATCATTAATAGTTCCATTACCCAGTTCACCAGAGTTTCTAAATGTATGTACTTTCTCTTAGCAGTAATAACGCAATAGACAGAATAGTTGCATCTAAGAAAGACATTTTTCTTCTAAATACACAATGACAAGTCAAGACAAAGAAGTCACCTACATCTATGGTTAGTATCTAAGAGAACTGGAATAAACACAGAAATATGAGACTGTGATACTAAAAGTATCAGCCATGTTAGATATGATTTGATTTCAACAGATTGATGCAGAAGCAAAAAATTAAGACCACCTTTGCTCACAAAGATTTATCCTATTCCGTCATTTCAGTGATCTTGTAGTCTTAATAAACTTGTTTCAATGAATCCAACTTGTACGTAGTAAACAAAAAACATGAGATGGGGAAATTTAGGTAAAATTACCAAAAAAACAAAACATAAAACTGCAAAAAGACGAAAGCAGAATGCATGAGCTAATGTAATGTTACACAAATCTAGGAAATTCACTCGTTAAAATACTCTCACGCAGGATGTTAACCAGTTAAAGTAAAATAAAATTTTGATACATGCGCTTACCTGCTTCACATTGGTGAAAACTAATCACCATCAGCAGGTAACAAGTACTCATCACCATGGCCCTCAAAGCTAGCAGCCGAAGAAACAAGTGCAAGGGTGTTCACTGGCGACACTAATACAATCAATTTGAGAGTTATTAGAAATTATTGATCAACAGACAAAACTACAACTTTGAAATGTGTCTTACCCTCTGTTTCATCTCCTATCCAATCTTGTGCACATATCAAGCATTCTACAATCACTGCATCGGTCGCACTTAAATAGTGATTTAATGATCTCGCTTCACTGTCTAACGGAACTACTGAAATAGGAATTGCTAAAATATCACGAGCCATCATAGAAAGAGCAGGATATTTGGCAGCATTATATTTCCACCAAGCTAAGATATCAAAATTGTCATCAAGACTTTTTGAGGGATGAACAGCTTCCTCCAAGTACATATCCAGATCAGATCTTGCTGGATGACCTGATGACGTCTCTTTAAGATACTGATCCAACCCACGTTGTGTGTCAGATAGTGTGACACGAGAAGATTTACATTCTGCACCATTCCCATGGTCAGCACCATCATAGCTACTACTATTTCCACCATAGGAGGCTTGGTTTTTTGAAGAATTAGCAGACTGGCCTATATATTCATTGTACAGATTTACAAAGCTGTCACGAACATTATCGATCTTTGTCTTGGCTTCAGATGCATCATCATAAATTCGATTGAAGAAGTATTCAACTGGCTTCATCTTATATCGAGGATCTAAAACAGAAGCGATTGCCATTGGCATTCTAGTTAAATCCCAATACTGTTCAAATTTCTCAAGCATCTCTTTGGCCATTGATGCAACAAAAGGCTGCGGGCTACTGCACCAGGACTTCAATAGCAAATGAATACCACACATATCTCTAAAAAATAGATTGGAAGTTGGGACTCCTGCAGCAGAAAACTTGACCATAGCATCATTGTAAAGCACTTGTAGACACCCAACAATAGCTCTAACATCACTCCAATCCTTCGGTGAAAGAAAGCATGTGTTTTCCACATCATTCTCTGCTAAGTTCTTAAAAGCCTCTTGATATTGACATGCAGTTTCAAGCATGAAGTATGTTGATGGCCAACTAGCTGGAGCATCAAGAACTAATGGCTTTTGTGGGATGCCCATTTGCTCGGCATCTTTCTGAAATCTTGCTAGCCTGTCTTGTGAGGATTTTACATTTTGCACGCAAGCACGGACTCTATCAATGATTTCACAAGCCAATTCGAGGCCTTTCTGGACAACAAGATTCAGCAAATGACCACAAGATCGGGCATAGAATAGATCACCATTTGAAATAAGGAAACCCTTCATACGAAGGGATCCAAGAAGCTCACTTGCCACCAAATCACTGGTTCTACAATTGTCGAGAACTATGCTACATAGCTTCCCATCGATATTCCACTCCTGCAACTTCTCCAATATAATTTTACTGATTTCTTGTTCCTTCTCTGGACATCCGACATGAGCAAAGTTAAGGATCTTCTTCTTAAGCCTCCAATCATTATCAACATAGTGGCACGACACACAAGCATACTCTACATCCTCATTCGACCTCCACACATCGACATTGAGGCTGACCCGAGAATGTAGCCTGTCTAGTACTTCATGCAACCTCAGCCTCTCATTCTCGTACATCTTCATGCAATCTGCCTTCACGACATCGGCGGACACCAATTTAAAGAGTGGCTGAAGATTCCTAACAAATGTCCTGAAGCCGACATGATGGACGATGTTGAACGGATACCCATGCAGAATGACCATGCGGGCGAGATCTTGCCGGCTCGCCTCCTGATCAAACTGGGAGTGATCGGAACTCAGAACACCCTCACTCTTGGCGTCGCTCGACGTGAGGACGAGCCGGCGGACGACCAGCTTCTTGCGCTTGATCCGCTTGGTAGATGTGCAAATCACCAGGTGGTTCTTCAGATGCGTCGTCCCACTCCGGCTGCTCGCCGTGAGCTGCTTCTTGCAGTGGTTGCATACGGCGACGTAGCTCCCATCGGCCTTGCGCTCCTTAGTGAAATCATTCCAGACCAATGATCGCAACTTCCGGGCTCTCGGATTGTGAACGGCAATCGCGTTGCTTTCATTGGCGTCCATCCTAGTCGACTACGGCATATACTCGATCATCTACAGCACGATCATATCCATATCTACGAACACGATGATACACCATATAAAGAAGAAACATCAAAGAAAGAAGCTTACTTGGATTGGAGAAAATGAACAACGATCATATGACAACCCGGTAAGAATTGCATCGAACAAGACACGAGCTCGATGGTATGTCACCAGAAGCAAATGGCTCGAAACAGATATCTTCGAAGCCCTAGTCGGAGCTCCGGAGGAAGACGGAAACGACCCTCGATGTAAGCGATCGAACGCCTACTTAGGACAGTCTTGGGGCGGGGGGCGAGGGCGAAGGCGAGGAACAGGGCCGGGCGGGGCGGGGCGGGGCGGGGCGGAGCGGAGTTAGGGTTTCGGTTTCGGATGGGAATGGGGGATCGAATCGAATCGATGTGGGAGATGAATAAGCGGATCGCGTTGGTATCAAACGCTATCCCGAGTTAAATAAGATGGGTCGACTTATATCGGTGGTGTTACCGGGCCGGATCGCTCAAGATACGAACTCGGGTCCGATAATTAACGGATGCGGATTATCTTAGGAAACCGGGTCAGATGTTGGATCTTTTCATGTTGTTGGTTACGGATTATCCATACTCGACCCGATGCTGACTTTGAAGTTGCTGTTGAACACTTGATTCAAGTCTATTTTGGGTTTCGAGCGCGATGAAACTATGCGGCGACGGAGGCGCCACCTTCCACTCCCTCCTCGCCGACTACCGCTCTCTGCTCGCCCGCGGTCTGCCCCCTCCCGCGCACACCTTCCCTCCCCTCCTCCGCGCCTGTGCCGCCTCCTCCTCCGTCTTACTCCCCCTCGGCCTCGCCCTCCACCTCCACGCCCTCCTCCTCGGCCACTTCCCCGCCGACCCCTTCGTCTGCTCCTCACTCCTCCACCTGTACTCCTCCTCCGGCTCCCTCCCCTTCGCTCGCCGCGTCTTCGACGATAGCCCACTCAAGTCTTCCGTCGTCCCCTGGTCCGCCCTCATTGGCGCCTACTCCCGCGCCGGCCGGCCCGGAATCGCATTCTCTCTCCTCCATGACATGCGCCAGAGCGACGTCCGCCCCAACTCTGTCACCTTCCTCTCCCTGCTCCCGCTCGATCTCGTTCCCCTCCAATGCCTTCACGCCTCCGTCGTCCGCCACGGCTTCGAGTCCGACCTCGTCCTGGCCAACTCCTTGGTGAGCGCCTACGGGAGGTGCAGCGTCGCGCTGGCTCGGAGGCTGTTTGATTCAATGCCCCTTAGAGATGTCATCTCGTGGAACTCACTGCTTTCCGGTTACTCCAGGATCGGTTGCGTTCGGGAGGCGTTCGATTTGTTTGCCGAAATGAGAAGCGACGGAATTCACGCAGATCATCCAACGTACGCATCTCTGTTGTCCTCCGTCGTCAACAGCAGCGATGGAGGAGGAAGAGAGGGGTTGGTTCGTTTAGGCAAGTTAGCCCATGCGGCACTGTTAACATCTGGGCATGAACTGGACGCCCACGTCGAGACCGCGCTCACCGGCATGTACTTGAAGTTTGGGGTCTATGGCGACGCGTTTCTGCTCTTTGAACGCTCGTCGGACCGGCGGGACGTCGTGTCGTGGACCGCCATGATCTCCGGCCTCGTCCAGAGTGGTGCAGCTGACAAGGCACTGATAGTTTTCCACCAGATGCTGCGGTCGGGACCGGCGCCCGCGGCTTCGACCTTAGCCAGTGCTTTCTCAGCCTGCGCGCAGTTGGGGTCGTCCAAACTCGGAGCTTCCATCCATGGTCATGTGTTCCGGCAAGGCTTGCACCTGGATGTTCCTGCCCAGAATTCACTCGTCAGCATGTACGCAAAGGGCGGTCGTCTGAGGCAGAGCCTGTACGTGTTTCAGGCGATGGAGGATCGAGACCTCGTGTCGTGGAACTCGGTGATCTCGGGCTGTGCTCAGAACGGTCATCTGGTTGAGGCCTTCTTCCTTTTCGGCAGAATGAGGGTGGAGTCGCAGAAGCCTGATACGATAACTGCGGTTGCGCTCTTCCAGGTATGTGCCGCCATGGGCGCGCTTCACCATGGCAAGCTGGTTCACTGTTTTGTGATCAGACACGAGATAGATCCGTCCATCGCCCTCGATACATCTCTGGTCGACATGTACGCGAAGTGCGGCGATCTGAGAGCGGCTCTGAGATGCTTCTCGTCGATGCCAGAACAGGATCTCGTGTCGTGGGGTGCGATCATCGCTGGATACGGCAGCCATGGAATGGGAGAATTGGCTCTTCGAGTGTACAAGGATTTCCGCAACAGGGGAATGGAGCCGAACGATGTCATATTTCTAGCCGTGCTCTCGGCTTGCAGTCACGCAGGGCTCGTTTCCGAGGGCCTCAGGATTCTGAAGTCCATGACAGAGCAGTTCAGCTTGAAGCCCAGTCTCGAGCACTGGGGATGCGTCATCGATCTCCTGTGCAGGGCCGGAAGGTTGGAAGAAGCGCTGGGTTTCGCGAACACGATGACGCCGAGGCCCAATGCAGATATCTTGGGGATGCTTCTTGATGCTTGCAGGACGAATGGATTGGTGTCATTAGCGGAGGCGGTGGCGAAGCAGATAGCTGCACTGAGGCCGGATTCTGCCAATAGCTACGTCCAACTGGCTCACAGCTACGCCGCGATGCGAAGGTGGGATGGCGTGGGAGAGGCGTGGGTGCAGATGAGAGAACGAGGGTTGAAGAAAGCACCGGCATGGAGTTTCGTGGAATTGAATGGGATCATCACCACATTTTTCGCAGAGCATCAGACGCACTCTCAGCAGGATGAGATACTCTTTTTGCTGAAGATGCTCAACGGCGAGATGAGAGAAATCAGTGGAAGCTCCGCGTATCGGCGGTGGGAGAGCAGTATGTTGGATTTTGGGGGCGATTCAGGTGAGATAGGTGACAGTTGCTGGTCTGCGGTTGCATGAAAGAGCAAGCAAACAGTTACTCGAGAAGTCATGGCAAATGCAGGCTTCGAGATGAACATAAGATACGAACGCCCTGCTTCAAGGAAAATTGAGAGGACATTGGATAAAGCAGTGGCGAAGCTGTGGTTTTACCTTTCTGTGCCAACCGTGCAATTGAACATTAATCGGCTCATCAGAAGCATCATTTGATGAGAAGCCAAGCACCATTGGAGAGTCATACTACAAACAAGGCTTGCCCCACGAGAATAAGAACACGGGTGCCAAGAAACATAAGAAAATAGGTATCAATGTCTCTTGACGGATTAATTATATATTACTCATTGTAATTAGTTAACTTTAGTATTATGTTCTCTATAATTTTAAAAGTTATATTGATATCTTTATAATATTTTGGTCTATTTATCTTAATATTATCGATTTTATCAACAAGACATGAAAATAAAATATAAAAAAATATATAATTTTAATCTTTCAGTTGGTGGTGATGGACGATGATGCTGCTGGAGTCACTGATGGTTGTTATGGATGAAAAGAGCGACAACAAGAGATGAGGGTCGTTCGGTAACTACGTCAACAATAGGTATGATGGTGTCCTCTGCATCGACGACGTACTCAATGTCGAATTCCAAGACTCACATTTTTCTATCGTCGTCGGATACCTTTGTCGGAAGCTCGACAATCACTTGTTGCTAGCCTTCCCGAGCTTCCCTTTCCTATCGACGACAACCGTGATGAGTATAACTCCTCCGACAAGCCTTCCATCTCTTCTTTTTCATGCTCATGTTGAAATTGGTGCAATAGTGGGGGGGAGCAATAAGAGCTCTAGCAACCCTAAGCTTCGGGTCGAGCGATTCACCCATCGGGTTAGTGACGAGACACTCACCATCTTTGCTATAGATGTTACGACAGTCACCATCATCTGCATCGATGTCGATACAATTGTCGAGCGACGGTGCTATACAACTACATCGATGTTGATGTAGATGTCGAGTGGCGAAAGGATCACTTGACATTTGCATTGACAACCCTTTCACTGCTCGATAACTACGTTGATGTCGACATAAATGATGATGGCTATCGCGATGTCTATGATAATGATGGTAGTCGCCTCATTGCCAACCCATTTGACAAATTGCTCGACCTGAAGCTAGGGTCGTCGAAACTCCTACCGCTCCTCTCGTTGTCGCACCAATTCCAGTATAGACATGAAAAAGAAAAGAAGTGGGGACTCATGGAAGGAGGAAATCTATTCATTACGATTATTGTTAACCAGGGAAGCTCTAAAAGGTTGGTAAGCAACCCTCATCTCCCATCATTGTTCTCCTTATCCACAATACTTATCCACGTTTTTAACATTGTTATCATCCACCATCACATTAAAACTATTTTTTTTAATAAAATAAAAAAATATCAAAATAAATAAATTTAAATATTTTATTATAATTTTTTAAATATAAGAACCGAGATGTTAAAGATAACTAATTTTAGGAATAATGTATAATTACTCCATACCGCTGTTGAGGCTACCTTCTGCTGCCTTTGTTCCAAGCCGCTCAATTACCGGATGGCTCGGTCGTTGTTCCTGTAGGAAGTCCGATATAAACATCCCCCAGCTCACATAAGTTAGTACAGATTGTTGTCAGCCGAATACAAAATGTTTAATCACCATTTCACACCCATAATGTCATTTGTTTCCATGACACCATACATCAGGTTGTTCAACCAGCGAAATCGGAGCATACAGCTTCTGTTACTAGCGACCAAGGGGGTTTGATTATAGATTTCAAACATCAGCTCTGTTCCGGAGACATACATTTAACAGTAAATATGGAACGAAGACAACTTCTGCAGAACATTATAGAACAGTTCAGACATGACCAAGCAACAAAGTAACACTTGCCATGAGTTGCGACTCCAAGCATACACACTCATATACTCAACATAGTTCCCCTGACTAAAATAGACTGCTAACTAATCATCATCGTCAAGTACACTTCGGCGTCGCTGGATCTGACAAGTAAGGCCAGAAAGAAAAACCAGCATAATTGTATTTTGCTTCCAGAGGAATAAACAAGGCACAAACTAATGCGTAAACAGCTTTTATGTTGCATGGCTAAATGATAAGCATGGTTAAGTTCATGAATGTTCTCATGTAATACATCTTATTTTCAAAAATAAGCAACTTACAGTAACTTTTGTCTGTTTGCTTGTTTGGTTGTTGATCTGCTCCAGAAGTGAAATAAGCTTCTCTTCCGATACCTAAAAACAAACACGCCAACATGGCACTCTTCCAAGTCTCATGAGGGCAACAGAAAGAAGGAATTTGCACTGGAATGTGTATAATTAAAAATTACACCTTTTCAGTTAGCTGTCCCATTTGAGCAGCTCTAAGAAGAACATCCTCCACGCCTCTTGCTTTATCAGGTTTCACCAAAGCAATACGAGCAACTATCAATAGAACAAACATCAGTTGGACTGATGCAGCTTAAAATTACTTCGCGAAGAACAAATTTCATGGTTGTATATAATTGTACAATAAGCATCATTTACAAAGATCGTAGTAGGGTTGGTAACAAGCCTTGCTAGGTAAAAACTTCAATCACTAACAAGCCTTCCTAACAATAAATTTCAATCACTAACAAGCCTTGCTAGGTAAAAGCTAGTATCTTCTTGACCACAGTGAATTAGCAATTAGACACAATTTTGGAAACCCTAAATAGCAACAAATTCTGTAGGCTTGGTCAGGTTGACCATTAAGCAAGAATACCTCACATCACACTTAGGGTTTCTATATCTACTAAATACTAGTTTTATAGGTCCAAAAATCCAGAGAATAAGTAACTCCAGTAAGAGGTCAAGCTTGAAAAATAGACGCAGATGTTTGACCCATGTATGGGAGAGTGAAGAGGCAGATAAAATGTACAAATAGATAGGGTGTCAGATCTTTAGGATTTCTTGCAAGCTCATTTACCCATCTTCTGAGGCCCTTCCGTAAAAGGACATTATTTCCCAAAATGCATTTCTCTGCCCATACCTATATTAGTTCCTGACTAATGCAATGATTAGTAAGAGCAGAACACCTAGAGATATTTTTAAAATGTCAACATCATCATCAGTCTTTGGGCTGTGGCCTCCAATCATATATGAGATTGACTATAAATCTATACTCTTAACTCGAGAAGGCTGGATCGATAATTTATGTTTAAGTCCAATGATACTTCATCAACCTAACTAAACCTTGAATGGAGTGTGTGCCAAACTCTGGCTGTGGAGATTAAGACAAAAAATGGCCTATAGATGGGTCCTAGTTCGTGCACAACAACCACATGAAAATTCTCATACGTGTTTTCATGATTCAAAAGTGTCTAGATAAAACAGGAAATGGCAAGTCCTGCATATTGGGCAAGGTCCCATCTACAAGGCAAAATAAGCAGAGAGCCAACAGAATACAAGCACAGAGGACTACAAGTACAAAGTATCAATGATTAGGAGATGATGCAGTTGCACAGCAAATATATTTCATAAAATTGCTTTTGCAGGTATTGATGTTCCTCTGGATTATCTCATAAACACAGTTCCAAAAAATGACATGGATATCAAAAATACCCAATTATGAATTCTTGAATGGCCACAACTTTCCAATTTATAAAGCTAATCCTTTTCAGTCTTAGAGGGAGGGATGCCAGGACTCCGCCAAGAGAAAACTTGAAAGAATTTACTTAATTATGACAATCTTCAAAAAAGGCACATTACTTGCATCATTTAGTGAAGAAGAAGCATTTTGGAACCCTTGATCATTTTTCAAAAATGGAACAGATATTTCCAGATTGGTGATGACACCTCAATTGATTTTTGGTCTCAGAAACATCAACTTGTAATTTGTGGTAAGTGAGCATCCTTAATGTGTTCGTCAAAATAATTGTCCCAGACATACATGCTAGAAACTGAGGTGAAAGATATAAGGCAAATAATCACTTAAATCCCATCATAACAGTTCATTAAAATCCATCAATTCTTTTGGACTATCAGTAACTTATGGTAATGTACCACTAACATACTGAACTGAGAGCAGGTAATAAGAATAAACTTGTACAACAGAACAGCTTGAACAACATTCAAAGGCAAACCCATATTGTCAGAAGCTGTCAGGCAAAATTTTATCTCATCCAATACTTACGCCTTTCTCTTGCTTGAGCTGATAATATCTGACTAAGCATCAGTTGCCTATGTTCTTCTGCTTCTCTGCATTTCAAATTACATATATATGATTCTGTAAACGTACATAAAGTTGCAAACTTGATCCAGATGAATTCACAGGTTAAACCTTTTGGCCTCTTCTTGTGCCTTCTGCGGCTCACCATTTTGCTGATTACCCTAATTAAAAGAAAACACAAGCCAACAAACATTAGTTACAAAACAGGCAGTATTTAAGAGTTTATTATGCCACCAAGATGACTTGCAATGCCATGTTTTGCCATCAACTCTTGCATTCTTCTTTGCCTAATGGCTTCTAGCTCCGGGTCATCCTAAGAAGAATATTGACCATATTGTCAGTTTAGCAAATATAAGGTCCAACAAATGTATGTAGAAACTAAACTCATGTCCTTCAATAAAATTCAGGTCTACTATATCTTACACTTAGTCTCAATGTATGCAATTCCTGATCCACGAATCCTCCTCAAATAAAGGCAAATAAAGACAAAAAAATGAAAATAAGGGAACATCAAAACCACCGAGTATTTTCCTTTTCCATTTGTCAACATGAGCCCAAAGTAAAAAGATTCTGTCAGCAGACGACAACTAAAATGAAGCATCAACCACGAGAGTTTAGGGGGAAGAAATCGGAAATACGATCTTCTCCCAAAACAAGTGTGTGATTCAAATGTCATCAATCATTCCGTCTTTCCGTGGAAATTCGACTTTTAGCAATTATTCTAAACATTATTTCCCGAATCAAGAACATTGCAGACAAGAAATTGAACAATCACAAGGAACCATCTTAAAAGACAAAAAAAGGCCCACAATCACTAGAAACGCAGCACCCACGGCTCGTTTGAACCCCGTAAAAGGGAGAACCAAAACATGAGAGCGAGATGTAGTGATACAAAAGAGTGCTGCCCTCAAAGCTCATAAGAATCAAAGTAATCACGGCAGAACAATTAGCAAGAAAACCACATCACCAACAAAACCCTAGATTACGATCGACATTTTGACAAGCAAGACGCAAAAGAAGGGAATTTGTGAGAAGAAGAGAGGGATAAGCGATCAATCCATACCATGTCGCGAAGGTTTCGAGATCGGAATCTCAGCAGCTCGTCGGAGTGTTGGAGTCGCTGCTCGATCTCCGCCCCGGCTTCTCCTTTGGCGGATATATAACGCTACCGCTCTCCTTTTATAGAGTCGGTGGTAAGCAGAAGCTGTATGCCACGCACCCTTAATAGTATTAGATCCATTAACCGCAAACCGCAAAGAATTAGATCCATTAACCCTTAATAGTAGATCCGTTAACATATCGGATCTGCATCGTCTTTCCACTTTCCTGACCATTAACTTATGATGACGACATCAATTATTCCTCCGTAATTACATTAATTATCGGTATTTTTGATTCAAATCCCCAAAATATCGTCAGGGATCCGTCTACATGATTGATCTTTCCCCCGCCACGCACCTGGTCTGTTATTGGTTAATAGATGTGGGCTTATGTGGAGCCCACTTAATCTTATCAGAAGGGAGGTTAGTCGGACGGGTTGCCTAATCGAGTCGTTTTCCTTTAATATTTGTGAGATGATCATCCACCGTTGGTTAGCCTACGGACTTCACATACGTATCCTCCCGTTTCACGTCCGTTTCGTGTTTTAGGTTTTGGCTCCCGTCTTCTCTTTCTACGGACTTCCGCCCACGCGAAGAGCCGAAGCGTTGATTACCATGGCCGACAAAACCCTCGCTTACTCAGCCGCCACCGTCGCCGTCGCTGGCGACAAGGAGGAGAAGGCTTATAAGCAAGACTCGGCTGACGGCGAGGAGGAAATGGCCTTTGAGGAAGCCATCGACGGTGGTGAGGAGGAGACGGCATATAAAGAAGCCGCCGTCGACGTTGAGGTGGATAGTGCCGATGAGGAGGCCGCTGTCACCGCCGGCGACCGCGACGCCGCCGTCGAGCTCCTCGAGGAGATCCGGGCGCTCAAGGATGAGCGGTCCGATCTCCAGCGCGAACGGGCTAATCTCCTCCGCGACCTGTCCGACGCCCGAACGAAGCTTGCCGGCGCTGAGTCTGACCTTAAGACTGTCGCCGGCCAGGCCAGCCGCCTCGAGGGCGAGGTCCGCATCATTCAAGACGATCTCTCCACCGCAAACATCGTCTCTATGGAGCAGGAGGAAATGGTCCGCCGCCTCGAGGGCGAGCTCCGCATCGCACAAGACGGCCTCTCCACTGCGCACATCGCTGCTATGGAGCAGGAGGAAAAGGTCCGCCGCCTCGTGGGTGAGCTCCGCATCGCACAAGACGACCTCTCCACTGCGCACAGCGCCGCTGTGGAGCAGGAGGAAAAGGTCCGCCGCCTCGAAAGTGAGCTCCGCATCACACAAGACGACCTCTCTACTGCAAACATTGCCGCTACTGAGCATGAGGAAAATGTCCGCCGCCTCAATAACTCCATCAAGGACCTCGAAGCCAAGTTCAAGGTCAAGATCAACGACCTGGAGACCACGGTCAAGGTTCTCGAGGAGGAACTCAGGGTATCCAAGCAGAAAGAGAGGGATGAGGCGGAGAAGTTTGCCGCTGTGGAAGAGGAGTTGATGACTAAGATCGCTGAATTAAGGTCTACGGTGGAGATCGATAAGGAGGAAAAGGCCTTTGAAATTGATGGCAAGGTAGATGCTGGGGTCCTTCCTGTGCACTCCCAGGCGCTGCGGACGTCGGCCGTGATTGGAATTGTGGCCTTGGCGGCAGGGGCTGTAGTGTGTCTTCAGCTCGCAAAACGGAGGTAGAATTGGAGTGAGGGTTCGTGATCTATCTGACTGCTTTCTGCTGATAATTTTTGGCCTCTGCTCTGTTCTTTTTCTTGATTCTCTATCTTGTCAGTCCAAAATCTTCTCACGGTAGTTTGATTGGGCTAAATGCTCTTTTACATCCTGTCAAGCAATTCCACAGTAGTTCTGGAATCTTTCATGATCGGACTAGATAGGTTCATGGAGTGGGATTTAGCAGTGGTTTCACTAAGGAGTTATATCAACGTTATTCAGGTTGATGTTTCTTGTGTTGTTCTGTCGAACGTGTAGTATGATTCTTGCAGCAAAACTGTTCTTGCTGATAGCTACACTTCAAAAAGCTTGAATCTTTTTGTGTTGAATGATCTCTTAATAAAGGACTGGTTCTCCTCTGTGTCATCTTATTATCATTTGGAATGTTTTTGTGTGTTTTATGTTGCCCTGAATTGTCATTGTGAAACAGTGCTTTTGCAACATCATAATACTTGTGACTGAAAGAATCTTTTGTACAATAATATTTTGTGTTATCTTGAAGATGTGATCAAAATGTAATTATGTCCTTGCTTCTGGATGCCTCTCTCCTGGAAAGACAGGACCCAAGAGATAGAGCTCCAGTATGCTTGGCTTACCCGGTCAAACTGTTATATGGCCTATAGCATCAATTATTTTTTTGATTGGTCTTGATACAAACTAATGAATGATTGCTTTATTTCAGTGCACTGAAAATAAATCTACAATGTTGATTGTTGTCAATCAGTCAGGTGATTTCTGTTATTTTGATGTGAAATATCGAGTCAGCACCATTTATATCTTGGTTCAGGAGTACACTGTTTTTAGTTCCTTTTATGTTGTCATATGATGTCAGTTCTTGGTAATTTAGTTTTTCAGTATATCATCATCTTATTTTATATTTGGTGTATGATATTTCTAAAAAAATATGTTTGGTGCATGATTTGATTCTTGAGTTGGTCCTTATTTCTTTCTTGGTCCTGAGTTGTCGTTACTGTACTGCATTATTGATGTTGCACATTGTAATGTTATCTGTAATAATGTAAATGATGATATGGTTCATGATGAGGTCCAAAACTTGGTTGAGGGACTTGGATGAGCTGGTTGGTGTTCATGAATCTCTCAGATCATGTTTGTTTATAGGATGGTAGAGCTTATGCTATCCTCAGTTGTCTCATTCAATGTCACTTAACTTACAATGTCATTTTCTCATGATATCTTGATTGTTTGGTCTCATCTGTAGTTTTTTTTCCTTTTTGTGGCTGATTTGAACTTTAATGAGGTTTTCAATGGATTAACTGGTTGAAAATTTTATTTAGTACTTATAAATTGTTCAGGATGACTTTTCTTAGGCATACAAGTGGTGTGGTTGTTATTTTGTTAGGTTTGAGATAAGCTAATAAATAGTGTCTTCATGTTGTTAAGCTCACTATATACTGCAATGTTATTGGCTGAAGGGGCTATTGTTTTAGTTCATTGCTACTATCTGTTACATTCTGTTTTAGTAGTACTATATGACAATTCTCTTACCTGGATAAGCAGCATAATCATGTGCAAGCATGACTGATTCAAGAGGCCACACAGCTGTTGAGGTGCCAAGTAATCAGCTAGTGATACTTATGCTCATTTTTTAGAGTTACAACCACTTTGCATTTGATTTTTTTTCCAACTTGCTGATAGTAATTTATTGAACTTGATGGTGCAAAATTAGTATCTACAATTGACTGTCAGGAATTTTGTATGGTCAAACTGGAGTTCTAACACTCAAAGAAGAGATCAGACAATTTGAACTTCAAATTGACACCCAGGTATGGTTATAGTATAAACATTTTATGTAACATTTCTTTGTTAACCTATAGTATTTGTCATCTTATTTGTAGTATTACTAACTAGATGCAATGTATGGTACAAAAGTTAGAAAATGGGTATGTTGCTTGTAAGCGTAGACCTTCTGCAAGTTTAGATTTACAGGGCTAGCAATTTAAGGTACTGTTTAGCTATGTACATGTTCCCCAGTAAAAAGCGTTTTAGCCATTGAGAAGGCAAATGACAGTAGACGACCAAGTTCATCTTAACATTACTTGTGTCAACTATTTCTGAGTTCCATAGTTTATGGATGAACAATACGTTAATTGTGTATACAAGTATGTATGGAGTACGTTTTGGTTTTGCAGGCCATATGCTCAGCTGTTCTTCCATGGATTTGTCAGTGGTGACTCTTGGACGAGATCTGACAGCGTGATCTTTCCACACTTCCCAGCGTTGAGTTCATCAAACTGGTTGCAGATTAACATGATGTCCTTCTCTGAGATCTTCCCCATCTCCTTGAGCTTGTAGATCACAAACTCTGATTTGCTACAGAATGTAATGAAGTAAGTAAAGCTCATACAGCAGCAGGTGCTCTCACTTTGATCTGAAGCCATACCTTATGGATCCATTATTGTCCAGGTCTGCTGCCATCAGATCTCCCGCGGTCATCTTCCTCTTGAGCACCCACTCTGCAGTCCTTCGATTCCTTTTCTCGATCCTGAGCTCGGTCAGATACAAGAACGCCTTGGCGACAGCGAGAGTGCTCACCAGCAGCCACACTGATGCAAACAGCCTCCCCTTCATCGTCAAGAAGGTGTAGTCCCCGTACCCCACTGTCGTCACGGAGGTCACCGAGAGATAGAAGCTGTCGAGCCAAGCCAGCCCCTCCAGGACGTGCACCATCACAGTCCCCACCGCAACACAGCAGATAACGACACACAGTGCCAACCCCACCTTCATCCGCACCCTCATCCGCCCCTTCCTCATGTCCATCACATACGTCCTGAAGATCACATTGCGACGGCTCTCGTCTACGGCGCTGAGCAGCACTGCCTCCTGCTTGTCGAGCACGTAGGTCAGCAACCCATTGAGGAGGACATCCACGAAGCCGAAGCCCACCAGAATGAACGCACAGGTAAAGAGCTTGGTGAAGCTGGTGTGAGGCACTATGTCGCCATACCCGATTGTGCACATGCTCACGATGGCGAAGTATAGCCCGTCGACCAGTGGAAACGTTCTGTGCCCCTTGAAGCTCCCTTGCCTCACCATGAAGACGATGATCCCTACCGAGATGTACAGGATTGCTCCAACTATGGCTTGCCGCACAATCCATGGTGAACGCGTGGTCGGAGAATCTGCAGGTTCGGCATCGAGTGCCAGGGCTTGACTTTCCTTGATGCAGGTGAATATGGATGGGGCAGAGTAGGACCGGCGAGAGGCTTTAGTGGAATGCTCATTGGGCTCCTTGATCACTGGTGTGTCAAGGAGTGGAGCAGCAAGAGTGGGTATGGTTCTGCAGCATGGAAAACTGGTGAGATAGCTGAAGCGATGAGATGAGTTGCTGTTGCGATGATCTGAGAGCTCATGAGAGCAATTCTGTATGGATTCTGGTGTCTTGGTTGACAAATGCTTGTCCATGGACATGAAGCAGTGCAGGAATTCGTGATCTGAAACTTGGAGCACTACTCAGGTATGTTGGAAGTTGTTGGGTTGACTATTTGGTTGGAGTACTGGTAGTTAATCCAACCTGTCTGTCCTCGTGGAATAGAAGTTAGATTAGCTTCTGAACACCCAAGAATTAAAAGGCTAGTAAGTTATGTTTCTGAGTATTTAGCTCACAATTTCTAAGCTTAGACTGTGTATATATATACACAAAGGATTTACATCTGTTGCTTCTTTCAGATTCCTGCACTAAATCTTCAGGGAAATTAGACCTGCAAAAAGGGAATTCTCCAGCTGCAGTTCTTCCATATTGACCAGCACAAAGTACATTACTCTGGTTCATAGGTGCCAACAATAACTCAGATCAGAAGCTCTCCATTCCTCTGGTTCCGATGAAAGGATTCATGGAGGAACATAAAATGAAGTAATTGTGTCATTTATGGCGATCCCTGCCTTTTAATGGTCTGAGCTCTCCAGAAAACTGGTAGAGACTACAGTGAATTTTGCCTTCAAATACTGCATTACTATATTTTTGCCATTTTACCCAATATTTCCTTTTTTGTGTGGTAAATTTCTACCAAGAGTATTAGTTTGTAGATTTTATTAATGTCGCCATGACTGCAATAAAGGTATTACTGATAATTATACATTAGATTTGGTTAATGGAAATGAGGGTCTGAAAGTCTTGATGGCTGACCTTATGGTGATTACTTTGACAAAATAGAAATGATTAATCCTCATGTTATTTTTCTTATAAGATTGTTGCTATGAGTTTTGACTATAACATAATTCAAATATCGAAGGTAAGATTGGAATGAATCGAAAACAGGTTAGGTGATGATCTCCCAGTGAGAGATGATACAAACTTGAAATGTTGATGGGACGGTTGGTGGTGGTGAATGTTCAATTTTTTAGTGGTGATGATACAAACTCGTGTGTTGGCTGCAGACCTATCATTGATAGCGAATCGCCAGCTATCAAAATTGAACTGGAATGTGCTGTCAAGGAGTACAAAGTATCAATACCATACGCGGAAGTTTTTGGTTAATAATTGGGGAAATTCTTTAAAAAAAACCCTTAATTTTTTTTATTTTTTCCTGCAAAAAGCACTGTTTTTTTAGTTTTACGTCGCATTCTCCGAAAGATAGGCTTATCTTTGGCTACGTTGTGTTCATCCTTGTCTCATCACTTTTCGTCTTATCGCTCTCATAGTATGATAGTCGTATTTGCTTTTGAATGTTTTCTCTGTTGCATTCTCCTAGAAGTTGCTAAGGCCCTTGAGCTCGTCGCAAGTTTTTGCTCTTGTCTATCGCTAGTATCACATTGTTGCTTCGCTCACACCTCCTTCTATCCTTGCTAGTTAGAGCATGATCCCATCGAAAAGGGTGGTGTAGGCGGCATGGACCTATGGTGATCATGTACGGATTGCACTCAAGAACTAAGCAAACGTACATAATCTTGATCTCTAGGTCATTAGCACAAGGGGAGACACTTAGGGTATCATAAAAGGAGGAGGCGAACGGCGAGAAGGAAGCAATGCACAAGTGTTGACAAAGATGAATGGGGGGTAATACTAGCGATAAAGGGAGGCTACTAGTGAAGCAATAACATAGCGAATGAGACCAGCATAATAACAACGATGGGCGATGACGAGGGTGCGCTCAAGGGTCTTAGCATAATAATAACGATGGGCGACGACGGCGAGGATATAATAGAGGATATAAATTGATATCAATCGATACGTATTAATCCGATTAGATCATCAAAACAGATGCAGTATCCGAAATGATAAACCTTGATGATTCTATCCCACGTATGGAATATTCTACTTAATAATCAGGTTGATGTAAAAAATTAAAATATATGATAATTAATTACTGACACGTCAAAGATGAGGAGCACATGAACAAGAAAAAGGAAGAAGAAGAATTAAAGTCACGATGATCATGCTTCCGAACTAGGAAGCAGTACACGAACAGTTCTTGCAATGAGAACCGGAGAATAGTCGAAAAGATTGCACAGTACTATTCCTGGTTGCCATGGCCATGATGAGTGTGTGCTCAAGAAAAGAAAAGAAAAGAAAAGGTTGCAGGTGATCATGCTTTACGACCCACGGGGCACATGCTATTCTATCCTTTGCTCCTACAACGACGCCAAAGGCGAGGATTCGTGCATCAAATTTAGCCCACACATGATCGGTCCCTGGTAAAAGAAGATGCAGGGCATAAAGGACTGCATCTTTTGCTTCATCTTAATGCCCTGTCACTTTTTGTTTCTTGCCTCTTCGATTCTTGCTGACCTCAATGCGGGTGGAAAGGTGAAGCAAATTGGACTCCCACATACTCGTCCTTGGCTATATCTATATACCTTTTAGTGGTCGTCTGAATGATCCACTGATCATTTTGATTTAAGGTCATTTCTAACAAATTTTATATCTAAAATAGAGATAATTGACTTGTTAACTTGATAAACCTAAATTGTTGATAAAATTAATACTCAAGTTTAAATTAATAGTAATTATCTCTGTTGAGACATTCTTATCTTGTACGATGTCTAATGTAATGAATAATAATTATTAAATTTAAAAAAAACAATAATAATTAACTTATTATATCAATTTTAATCTCTGTTTACTTTTAATATATGATTAAATTAAAGTATTAAAATATAATATTTTTTATTAAAATTTAACATAGTTCAAATATAGTCGTCTAATGTTATCCACGGATAGTCATTTCTTACTAAGTATTGTACCATGCTCTAATACTAAAATATCTTTGATACCAATTATAACGATCCAACTTAATAATACGTCTACCTTCCTAATATGTTAAGTCTAAACTATTAATTCAAAATTCCTAAGTCGAAACCAAAGTATTACAAAATTTTCTAAATTTGCTATAAAAACATTCTTAGATTCGTGTTAAAATTTATGAGGATAAAAAAAAGAGAGAATCACATAACCATACATCTTATACTTGCAAATAAGACAATCAGAGATTATTAATCTCAAGAAGTCAATCAATAGTTTTAGTGGATTGATGTAGCCTGAAGGCCACCGTAAAATTTTTACCCTGCGTGTTACTCTTGTGTTTTATGAGTGGTGAGATCCATCACCAATCACTTACGGGAACTCGCACTCTGATCCATGAGGAATAATTTTCCTCTTTCAAGTAGTCCTTAGCTTCTGCCTATTTTTCATCCACTTGAGAGATCAATGAGAGGATGGAAGACAGGAAGAGCTAATGCAATAGACCCACCGTCGGAAACAGATCTCTTACCTTACCAAATTCACCTGAGAACATGTAACTTCATCGCATAACCTGATGACTCGCTAGCTTTCTGAGGTGTACTCAGCATACACAAGTTGGTTCTCGAAGTTGTCAAAGGTGGTGGGTCAAGTGACTGCTACTCCCATGGGAAAACCTTTCGACATATCCTCCAAGGAGATACAAAGTCGAAGACAAGAAGCAGCACATTCCGCTATCCCAAACCATGCAAGTGGGAGGCAGGAGAAGGAAGAAATGGATTCCCAGCTTACAGCCAGGAGAAAACAAAGATACCCCGAAAGCTCTCTCCACTTCTGGTTGTGAATAGCTCGAAGTTGCTCCTCCAAAAGGTGATGGAATGTTCCCACCGACCCTTATCCTCCTCCTCCCCATGCAAACCATTACCCTCAACAGCAATCAAATAAATATCTCCAGCGCTCATGGCTAATCCTAAGCCTCAAGACCTTCTCAAGTATTCATCTTTGTCCTATAAATGTCCCACCACGCTTCCATCCATGTCACTACCACTGTTCACACCTGAGTGACTAGCCATGGAGAAGCTGCCCAGGTCGCAAGTGGCGAAGGGGGCGTTCCTTCTCTTGCTCCTCTTCTTCCCCTTCATATCCTCGTCCCTGAGAACCTCTTACCTCTACTTCCTTCTCAACATCCTTATTGTTGCTCTAGGTGTCGAGGCCGGCTTCCTCGACGCCATCTCCAGGCATCAAGAGGAGAAGAAGGCACACAACACCGCGGCAGCTCCCACCGCCGGAGGTGCTGCACCCGTTGACGCAGCTAACCATGTGGCTGAGGTTGTCAACCCGCGTGAACGGGCTCCGCAGCAGAAGCCGGTGGGGCAGAAGTCCGCGAAAGTTGCGCCGGGAGAGCAGACGCTCAAGCGCTGCCCCTCCAAGCCGAGCCTTTTCTTCATCGGTGGATTCGAGGGAGACAGTGCGGGTAAAGAGTGGGAGGAGGAGGAGGAGGAGGAGGAGGCTGGAGAGCTTAGCAAGCAGGAGCTGTTTGCCAAGGCGGAGGCTTTCATTGGCAACTTCTACATGCAGCTGAAGATGCAGAGGGAGGAGTCGTGGAATAAGATTCAAGGGCTTTATCACAGGGCTTTCTAGGCTTTCCATGATGCATGTTTAATTGCTTCCATATCGATGTGGCATGAATTATATAGCACTGTCATCCCGATCCTTGAATTATAACTTGCTTTTTTTTTATTTTATTAGAAGGGTCACAAAGGAGGGAAGTACCAAAACCATTTTTCTTTGGTACACCTCATTCTTTCATACATGTTTCTCTGAAAGATACATGTATACATTGACAGCTTAGTCAGGATGGTTTCTTTAAGGTGGAAGGTTGGGATATGATAGTGGAGAGCAGAGAGAAAAATTGAGAAAATAGAGAGCTGGAATGATCATTAATAAAAATTAATAGGATAATATTTTTTTTTCTTTATAGTCCTACCAAACTTAATAGGTAGGATCTGTCCTATTCCTACTTACTTATTTCAAGCTATCTTAGTTGTTTCCATGTACAAAATGGCCCAAATTGCAAGATGCATAAGCTCACATAGTATCCATGCAGAGTATCTTGTCCTTGCAAGCAAAAAGATTATTTTTGTTAACGCAAAAATAATCTGATGCAAATAGTAAAGGAGTAATCTTACCTTGGCAGCTCAGTCTATCTGATGTTTTGAGTGCAGAAACTGGTGATATTAGATGAATATTGCTCCACTGCTTCCACTGTAATTTCTCAAAACGAATCAGGTTTCCATCCTTCTGCTTCTAAAGAAGAGAAATTGGAGCTTGGTAAATATCTCAAATCATTTTGAGTCCATTCTGCCATGAAACTTTGACCCATATAAGTGAAAAACAAGCATCTGAAATTAAAATAGTAAATGTACACTGGAAGAAGTATCTGTTTGCTTGTATGGAAAAAAAAATTGTAGTTGGTTTAAATTAAAACTAGTTAGTAATAAACACTTTGTATAAGCCACAAGAAAATTCGCTCTTTGTAAGCTAAACATCAGTCACACAAATTTTCACTATGAGATACCTTTACATTTTGAGGGAAGGGTTTACCCACGATGCCATTTTGTAGGTTCTACGCAGACCTGCATCTTCTTTCATATCAGTCCAATGATTTCTCTTTCAGATTTCGTATGGCATCAGTCTCAAGACAACGGTCGCCTTCCTGCTAATATATGAGGGTGGTGACAGGTTCTTCATTCATTTGTAACTTCCACAGGTCATCATGATCGGTTTTCCGAGTGTGAAGAAATGATCTGATTGCATCATTGAACTTGCAGAATGGCTGTAGTATTAAGCTACCCGTTCCAAGAGTTAGCACGAAATTAGGAGTTAGTGAACAAAAAAGCACCCGCATCGAATGGTCCAAGCAAACCCTCATTCAGAATGCGCATGGCAGCACTCCTGGAAAACTTTCTTGCAAATAAGAAGCACGGTACGAAAGTGCCATTGCACTGACACCACTCTGTTCGATATTCTGTCTCATAGTAGACATGATTAATGTTCTGCAAAGTGAAGAAATAGGCTTTTCTCACATAAAGAAAATTCAAAAAAATGCACTGCACTATGATATGTAAATATGAACAGTAGATGATACTAACCCTTATTTCCATAATGTGCTCCAGGCTCGCATCAGGAAACTCGAACGTCTTAGGATGCCAACTTCTTTTGTCCTTCGTATCTATAGATTGGTTCCATGATGTATATGTTAAAGTTCTTCTCTCTAGTTCATCTTCAAGATGACTCATCTAGAAAAAGAAAAGCTAATAATCAGAACAAAAGAAAAAGAAGAAACATTTTATAGAGCTTTCCAAGTAGAACTCCTGTCTAAATGCCCATTGTGCAATGAAGATTAGATGCAATATACAGATAATAAATGCAGGATTGTGCCAGCAAAATAAATTAAAAAACCAAATCAAATCATCTTACAGAGAGTAATGTTTGCACGTAGTGTTCATCTGGTATACAATCATGTTCCTTCTGGGCAGCTTCTTTCTGCACAAACATAAATCAAGGATGACTATTGAGAGATCCCTCATGGTAAATTACTACCATCCGTCCAAGCTTAAAGATCATTTTTTGAAACAATTCATCCTTTAAAAATGTTTATGACATCGTGAAAGGTGGACAACATATGAGCGAACTCAGATTTGAACACCTGGCTTTCTGATAAAATGCAGACAAATTTCAATTCAAGAAATATAACAAAACACAAAGCTTTGTTAACTGCACAAACATGACAATTTTAAAATGTGTGCTCTTTTTTATTTTCCAATGAGATTATAAGCATTATGATTAGATCTGAGTCCAAGATAGTAGAAGTTCTGTAATGTCAGAACACTAACCAACAAGCCCATGTTAAGAGGCTTTCTTCATAGTGAGATCTTGTTAGCAATCTCAACTCATAGATGCAGATGTATCCATTCCTTCCAGTACTCTTGTTCTCAAATAAAGTATCTACACGTTACAAGATCTCGTTCATCAATAAACAAACAGCTTAGGTACCTGATCATTATAAATTTTATTTGTCCCACAGGTATGTCTTAACTTGTAAATCAATAATTGTAGAATTCCCACATGGTGTTATTTTTGCAGTCTTTTAATAGTTGAATATGAAGACCCTGAATTATGACATCTCTTTCCAGCTTTGCACCTTTTTATCTTCAGAAACTTTCCGAAGCTCACATGATTACAGGATCATCAAGCTTTTGACGAAAATACTGGATGTTCATTTTATCCATGTTCTTTGATATTAACTTGAGTGAAAATATCTCAAAGTATTGTCTTAAAAATATTTTTTAAAGTTCCTCTGGTAACAACTTTTATTCTCTTTAGGTCATGCACCATCAACTTATCAATTATTTATCATAAAAATATTTCCATCAATGGGTAAAATGTTTTAGAGGACGGACCTTGCTACAGTAGTAAGGTTGCCCCTTTGCATCCTAAAAGATCAGAGTTCAAATTACGAAAATAGTCTTTTTCAATATTTAAAGATAAGGCTGCATACATTGAGCCTCCCCAAACCCCGCATTGGTGGGAGCCTCATTCACTGGGCATACCCTTTTTTTAATGGGTAAAACCTACAACATGGCCAATGTAATAGTACCTTTTGAAGTTCCTCTAGTAATAACTTCTATTCTCTATAGGTCACGCACCATCAACTTATTAATTAATTCTCGTAAAAATATTTGCTTCGTTGTCAAAAAGAGAAGATATTTTTCTCTTCAAAAGCATGTGGCAGCTAGTTCTTTTGGTGAAAGAGAATATATGAGAGAAGAGAGGCTATCCAACTTGTTCATTAAGAAAACGAAAGATCTTTTAAAGGAAAAAAGAATAAAAAGTTATGTAATACAAGCAACAAGGCACAATAAAATGCAGTGCAGTGGGGATTAATCCACTGCACATTATTTAAACAGAGGCCATAATAAAAAGTATCTAGAAACTAGAAAGTTTTATTTTTTTAATAATGTTAACTTTCTGGGAGCGAAAATCACCATAGGTTTTTGAATGAGGCCTCATGACTGACTGTTTTATTGTAGATTTTGGAAACAGGATGTGATCAAATGATTCTACTGCCACAGAACAACTGGGGCAAGGAGCAGCAACCCATCCTTTCTGCATAAGCAAATCACTTGAATGGATCCAGTTTATAAGAGCCAAGCACACAAAGGACAGTCTTTGCAGAAACCAAGACAACCAAATTTGCATATGGATGCCAACGGGCTGCCATGAGTTGAGCAGATAGAAGGAAGCAACAGGGAATAATCGAGAGGAAGAGAATCTCCAAGAGAAGGAACCAGACCTCTTGTGATTTGTCTTGTGGTCTCCAAGAAACCCTAATATAATTTCTGTCCTCTGTACTATATTTTAGAATTTCTATTTTTCTAATTTACAGACCCTACAAATGTAACAGCTCCTTGAAATTGACAAAGCCCATGGCAGATTAGATCATCAGGTGTCGATAGAGAAGTAGAATGTCCAACTGAGGAAGGTATTAGCTAAAATGTAGCAGATGGACTTGAAAAAATATATATAATCACCATTTTCTCTCAAAGAATGTTTTATGTTAATCTATATTTACACCTCCTTGCCATGATCAGCACTCTGCAAATTGTGGAAAGTATCTTGCCTGTTTCATATATTTGCTTTGAAGTAATCTTACAACTCAAAAATTTTAAACAAAAAAATTGCCTGAATAACATTCAGAATGATGTCAATATATGAAAGCAACAACTTAATGGACATCATTAACATATCATAAATTAATGTAGCAAATTGAAAAGAGAGTGGTGGAATTGAAACACCAGATATATTACACAGCTACAAACGACAACTATTATAAGTTTATCTTACGAGGTTATCCTTTAATTAGAAGGATAATGGAAGAGTCTACTCACATTATTCTGTTTTGCACCAAGTGCTAGTCCTGTTTGCCGCTGCAAAGGAACAAGCACAATAAGAGTCTAATGGTTTAAAAAGCGAAAAATGTTGAAAGTGAATGACAAGTAGATTGAAACTAGTAGCAAAGACCAGATAAGAGTTTGCTATGTTCAGTATGCTGCCAAATTGGCTTGCTAATTTTGCTAGGCAAACATTAAGCTCTTGTATTTGGAAATCTGAGTTCAAAGGGAACTTGTGTATTGCAGACTGAATTTTTTAGAGCAACTGATATTAATAGAATAAATGCTGTCTGCAAAAGTAAAACTATATTTAGGAAGAGTATGCAGATTCTGAAGATGTAACCTGTTGGCTACAGGATGCAAGTTAAGGACCAAGCCATTTTATACTTGTATAAAATGAATCCGAGATGCCTAGAATGAAAGGATAAAAGAAAGAGAGAGGAAAAAAAAAACAGACTAACAAGGTAGCTACCAGACAATCTACACTCATATTGGATAGAAAACAGAAAAACTACAAGCAAGAACCTTGTCACTTCTTCTACCATTTAGCAATCAAACTCCTGTGATTAAGCCAATGAAACCTTATCATGTAAAAATGCGAACCTGTCCATCATTAACTGATTAAAACAATTATTTTCTGGCTTAAAATAAATTTTATCTAGGTCTACGGAGTTTTTTTGCTTTTCCCTGCAATCTTGAAGCCACAAACACAAAGTTGTCATAGCAACAAGATAGAGGCATGAATTAGTTTTAAATCAGCACATACTACTTTTGTAACACCCCTGATTAGTCTCACATCGAAAGTGGGCAAGATTAAGATTGACTTATAAGGGTCTGATGAATGTACTACTACCAACTTTAGCTTAAGCATTTTGGTCAGTGATTTAGACTAAACGAAGTTGATAGGCCAGTTAGCCCATCAGGCCCGAGTCATTATATTTGGTATCAGAGTCGACCTAGCATTTGGATATGGTGAGGGGGCTCGAGTAGGAAAGGGTTACCCGTAGACGGAGTCAAAGGACTCGTCACGGCGTGGAGCCACCACTGGGCTACGCCTCACATGCACTATGCTAGGGTTTGATCTGGGTTATGGTGGGGCTTGACGAGGACGTCAAGCCTTTAAGTGGGGGTGATTGTAACACCCCTGATTAGTCCCACATCGAAAGTGGGCAAGATTAAGATTGGCTTATAAGGGTCTGATGAGTGTACTACTATCAACTTCAGCTTAAGCATTTTGGTCAGTGGTTTAGACTAAACGAAGTTGATAGGCCAGTTAGCCCATCAGGCCCGAGTCATTATAACTTTAAACAAAGTTTTATTAGGGTAATCTACCTAAAGTCATTTCCTTAGCAATACTGAGACAACATGTCCTTTTGCTATCCGATTATCCTCAAAAGTCAGCATTTAAAATAAGATAACAGAAAATGAAAAATATCCATTTTCCTAACTGAACCAGTATTCACATATTAAAACTATTTTTTATCTCATAATAAAACGTTTAAAATTACAAGTAATGGTTAAATATGGGCTAATTACATATTAAACCTTGAAGTTATACCTCTTTAACATCCCAGTCCCTAGACTTCAAAAAATTTACATTGAAATCCCTATAGTTATAAGAGTGAAACATCTAGCTGTATTTACCCTAATATCGTTTGTTTTATCAATGGAAATACGAAAACAATAAGAAAAAAGGTAATTTCAATGTCCTAGTTACGTTTTTTATGGTGGCAAACAACGACGCTGCTAGGGATCGCGGGTGGTTACTATGGATGAGGAGGGAGAGTGACGGCGCAGATGTTGACGCTCTGGATCTGTGTCAGTGTCACTCGACAACTGCATCGGTGTCGATGCAAATGCAGAATAACCCTTTCGTCGCTCTGCATCTGCGTCGGTGTCGATAACGATGCGGGGAAGAACAACGTTGTTCTGCATCTGCATCGACACCATGCAATTACCGAGCGATGCTAACGTAGATGCAGAGCATTGACATCTACGTCGGCGCCTCATCTCTCGCCGCTGCTCCTCGTTCACAACAGTCACCTGCGAACCCCAACGACGCCGCTGTCCGTCACCACCAAAAACGCAACTGGGACGTTGAAATTATCTTTTTGCTCATCGTTCTCATACTTTCGTCGGTAAAACCGACGACATTAGGATAAATAAAGCTAAATGTTTCACTTTCATAACTATAGGAATTCTAATATAAAATTTTTAAGTCTAGAGACTGAGATGCTAAAGAGATCTAATTACAGGGGGTAATATGTAATTAACTCGATTAAATACTACTATTAGATTATGGTCGTGCTAAGAAAGGTAGGATAATGTTTTAATTGTACACTTCAAATTACAAGATGTCCTCCCACATAAGCTTGTCCAATAAATAGTCAGAATATGACCTAAATATCTTCCTAGTTTCATTCAAATATCTTACCCAGTTATTGATGCTCAAAATGAATCAATTCACAACAATACTAGATCCAGGAGTACTTCTATTTTCAATTTAATTAATTAGTACTAAAACGTAAAAAGTTTAGAGGGAGTTTAGGTTGCTCTCCCCTTTATCGAAGAACATGATGTGCCAAAATTTGCATAGCTGATGTAAATTCATCAAAGATAACCTCCAGAAAGCAACACAAGGTTGAGACTGAGGAAGAAACAAGTCCCTGTGGATAACAATTATTGCCTTTGTTCTTTAACCAAAAAATAACAACAGCTAACAACTAAAATCCCTAATTGCACCTGTGCTAAAACAATTTTGGAATGCATATTTATCGAAGCTAAATGGCATTTGAATTTTGACTGCTTTACTAGAAGAGAAAAATTAATTGTTTAGATTAAAAATATCTATGCTGAACCCTTTGCTCGATAGAAAAATCCATGATAGTGATTACATTAATCAAGCTTGAGATTTTCCAAGAACAGACTACTTTGAGTCTGACTACGCAGCACATAATATCTGTGTCAGAGAGATGAGTACAATTAAGGGCTATCGATATGTAAATCTCATTTTTCATTTTTTTTTCTCTTATTTAGAGTAAAAAGCTAGATACTCATATTGCACAAGTTCACAGATACCTCAAATTAGATAAAAATTTATCACCAAAGGTCCACAAAAGACATCAGAAGCAAAAATCTGAACCATGTACATAATTTTACTCCTTACCTTGCAGAATTTACTGAACACTGGAAAAACGATAGTATCAGCCACAAGAGTCTCAGCATGCTTTCTAACCAAGGTTATCCACTGAAGGAAAGTGTTAATGTAGTTAAAGACATGATGAAAACTTAAAAATTGAACAAAAGTTGATTTCTTGTCTTCTAAATGAAAAAAAAAAAAACCTACTGATGTTTCTAGATCAAAATACAACAGCTATGAATATGATAACCTGGGATCCTTTTCTCCATCTGTCCTTGGGTATTGTAGGAAACATCTTGGCATTATAACGTACATCCTTCCTGTCAAGAAAGCTAGAAGAATGACCATATAGCTTAGTCTTTTCCATGTCTACATTGAAAAATGTCAAAGCATAAGAACAATATGAAAAATAACCCTTTGGTAGCCTACCTATCCACAAAACTTTTTGAAGAAGACATCATGTAGCTATATATATAGCTGAAGTTGTAAAGAGGAACACAGCTGCCATATAAAATCAATGAATCAGAAATTAAAATGGCCAAGAACATCGGAAGTGATTTCAGAGCATCAAAGTTGTAAGACATCAAAAAAATTAAAAATGGCCTGTTATAAGGTGGGGAAGAAAAAGGAATCAGTTGAAAGTAATAATTGCTTGGCTATGAAACCAACGAAAAAAAATATATGGGATAACATTAACTTGAACATATTTGGAAATACTAAGACAACAGATTCTTCTTTTCTTTTTGTCTGTCCAGTGAAATAACTATTTCCAATTAGATTAAAGGCAGTTACATGGAAAATGAAATAGCTTCTTCATGCAATTTTATATGAATGTATTTATAGAATTGTAGTAGCACTAAAACAACAACAAACCATTCAGGTTACCTTAGAACAAGCCTCAATTATCAAAACACATATGCACCACTTATGACATACCATGCTAGATCCATAGAAGTTTGAAGTTCACAAGTCTCAACTCTTATAGGAGTTATATACTATGCGAGTCATGAAGATCCATTAGGGCTTCATATAATATATATTCATCACACCTATGATATGCCATGCTAAATTGAGATAAATTAGGAAGCTATAAAGCCTCAACTCTTATAGGACTGCAACCATGTGAGATATGACAATCCACCAAAACTTCATATAACAGAATCACAAACTTATCCTTCTGTATACAAGCAAAAGTATGATTACTAATGACTGATTAGAATCCCAAAATATACCCAAATAACTATCCAATCAAAACAATGGGATACACTTCCAAGTCAGATGATAGACAAGCTACTGATCCACAATGGATTTACTTAGGGTTGAACATTCAACATTCAATCAATGTTTTTGAAATATTAGGAAATTAGGACTCAGTCAATAAGGCTTTTTCTTACCCCAAAAAAAAAATTTTTGGTTGATATGCAGTCTTTGTAGTATGTTATTATAGAAGAAGGCCCTATAAAAAGTTTAGTTAGAAATTAGAATAACTTTTGGTGTTTAGAAATGTCTTCCAAAATTTAAGGGGATTTTGACAATTGTGTTGATTAGCTTTCAATGAGAAAAAAAATATGCATAAGATATCCTTTCTACCTTCATTGCTCTTCTTTTCTCAAGTATGTTTCTAGCTTTTTCTCTTAGATTTCTTTAAAAAAAAAAAACTATTGTAACCAATACTTGGGGACAAATCACATTGCTTAACATTTACAATAAGCATAAGGTAGAGGTCAATCAAAGACCTTTCTAACTAATTGATAGGAATATTCAGAACTATCCAAACTATGATTTTAGAGTAATGGCATACGGCAGGTATCAACAAAATCAGGAAGACCATGTCGTAGGTTCAACATTTATTTACAAAAGTTAAATTTCTATCGTAACTTTTTTTGGGTTAGCAATACATGTCTATACTGTCAAAATTTGATGCAACAACAAAAATTGGGTTTCTAAACCTGATTAACCTAGTTGTTTCTCTTTTTGCAAAGCTTGCATCTCATTGCCGCACATGAGAACAGGACACACATGAGCAAGTAAATAAAGTGAATATTGGTGCAGATGTTGTTTTAGTTCTACTTAAGACTGAGTATCAAAACTAGGGAGTAGGATTCTTTCAAATGACAAATGAAAAGATTCCTAAAGAGTTGGTGCTAGACATTTCACAAGCTTATAACTGAAAAATTAAATAAGAAACCACATGGAAATAAGAACGTCATTTCCACAGACCACATGCTTCATTTTCCGATCAGACATAAGCCCTAAAATATATTTTGTTTAATGCATATCATAAAAAAAAACAAAAAATCATGGGATAGACATGAAAAAAAAAATGGTATTAATCTCCAAGAACGACTCGAGAAACACCCACTACCTATCGGAGATCAAGGCAAACCGTTGGTTAGCCGGATCCTTGAGGGCCACAGCGAGCAGCAACCGCTCTGCTTCGATCATAGTGGCCTCACCCCACACCACCTGCAAACCCCAAAACCTCTATGCCACAACATCAAAATTCTGCTCGAGATTCAAATGATAAAATAATAACTCAGAGAGGATTGCAAGACCCTTATGCCATTCTGAAGCTGACGGCCAAAGAAGAACGGCGATCTTGTCGTCGTCCTATCGAACACAAAGCCCGGCTCCGAGTGGATATATATCGAGTATTTCTCCTCTTCGGCTTTCTGCACAGAGCACCAACAGCAAAACTCTAGATCGCATCAAAGAAGAGAACCGGAGAAAGGGATTCTTGACGATGGCGATGCCTGGAAGAAGGTGTGCCAGACGAAATCCAGCGGGAGATTGGAGCGGGCGAGGAACAGGAAGGCGATCTTGGGAGGGGCGAGCAAGGGCACCTCCACGAGGTCGACCGGGGAGGGCGATCTCGAGCAGATGCGGATCAGCGTGAGCGTGCACGCGAGCACCGACACGCACAGGATCAGCTGCAGGCCCAACCGGAGCCTGCTTCGGGCGACGGGCAACGCGGCCAACGCCAGCGACGACGACGACGAGGGCGCCCTCTTCTTCATCGTCGCCGTCCCGGCGATGAAAGGCTTCTAATTCGATCGCCCACCGCGATGCCGCCAACGGCTTTGGTTTGGGTCGATAAATATATAGTGGAAAATGGTATCCTTATTGTGCTTTGAATTGTTGCGCGTAATAACTAACAAATATTTCGTTTGAAATCTCACGAGTTTGTGGAGTCGATCACAAACAAATACGTATCGATTTGGTTAGTATTGTTCCAAAAGCATTTTACGAATCTCAAAGTACAATAAAAAGGCGAAATTCTAAAGGATTTAAAGTACTTGTCATGCAAAGATTTGTTGGAGAGTGTCTTTTGGTTAGGTTGGAAGGGAAGCAAAGACCCACCACTACTACATGGAGGAGAAAGAAAGCATGGGGAGAGTAGTCACACGTCTTCATTTGTGTCAGCTCACATAAGGATTCAAGGTTCCTCTCATAAGGTGAATGAGCCTTGAATCTATCCGTCAACACGACTTGATATCAGCAAAAAGTATCTAGAATTTTCATTTTAAATATTTTCCTTGAATCATAGTTATCAGAATCTGATAATACCAATTAAATCGATAAATCAAGAATCGGACTTTGAGTTAATTATATATTACTTTTGTAGTTATTTATTTTAGCGATCCTTATATTTTAAAAAGTTATATGGATATCCTGAAAGTGAAACATATAGATTTATTTATCTTAAAGTCATCAATTTTATTAATAAAAATATAAAATAAAAGATAAAAAGATAATTTTAACGTTTCAATTAGTAGTAACGGATAACGTCGGTGGTAATGAACGATAGTACCCCTTAGGACTATTATGGAGGAGGAGAGCGATGATGAAAGGTAGGACCACTCTGTATCTGAGTCGACATCGACATATACATCGAGCGATGCCGCTTGACATCTACATTGATAGCCCTTTCATTGTTTGGTAACTACGTTGATGTCAATGCAGATGCAAAGTAGTATTCATTTTTCGTTGCTATTCTCTTCATCCACAACAGTCACTCGTGACCTTTAATGATATCATCGTCCACCACCATCGATATTGTCTGTTATCACCAACTAGAATGTTAAAATTTTTATTTTATCTTATATTTTTGTATTTTTGTTGATAAGACCGATGATGCTAGGATAAATTAATCTAGATGTTTCACTTTTATAACGATAAAAATATCAATATAATTTTAAAAAATATAAAATTTGAAATACCAAAGATAGCAACTATAATGGGTAATATATAATTAAACCTCAGTTTCGATTGCATGATATTTTGAATCGAAACAATCGACTTGCTAAATGAAATTGATTTCTCAATACACTCTATTTTTTTATATAATATCTTGTCAAAACAAATATATTTATATTTAGACGGAATAATTCATGAAATGGCATATGAGTCCAATCGACGAAAGAGAAGGTTGTCACCACGGATCTACCATGATCAACTACTTTGTGAAGCCAACCTCCGCACCGTGCTCTTGACATGGCCTATCTTGAGAGAGACCTGCAAGCAAAGCCAATCCTTCCCCATTTCGCACATCCTTCATCCAATAATAAACTTATCACATATATATTATCATGGAAATAATTATATTAATTTTTAGAATATGATGATTCATTTGAACCTTGTTTTGAAAATGCATGTTTAGGTGAGATTAGACTCACCCCAAATCATCAACATATCGAATCATAATTACATGTTTCGTTGACTGAATCATAATTACATGTTTAGGTAACAACAGCTCATGTATGCCGCACTCGTTGACTGAATCGCACTGACTTTGACTTTGAGAGCTCAATCAATGTGGTCATGTCGGCAGGAAGCAAAGTCCATTTTCTCAGACTACAGTGGAAGAAGATACACACAAATACTGTCACGTTTGAACAGGGAAACTGCACGGCGGCTGCTGAGGCGAAGTCATGGCGAGAACAAAAGCAATGTTAGAAGGCCACAAATAGCAACGAATTATGGTGGAAATAATCAATTAGCAACATAAATAATTTTCTAAATTATATGTCCAATGACGATAATATACAGTCATTTCCGATTTAGTCTCACGTTAGAGTATGTGGTTCTTGAATTATCAGAACCAGTTGAGGTCCTAATCTTATGATCATCTTATGATTAAGATACCCAATTTGCAACTTTGTTTTGCATCATCCTATTACATGAACACATTATCAGAAATCATATTTTATTTGTAGGATACATTTGATGTCTTTTTCTTTTCTTTTTAATCAGGAGAAGACTACCTTGCACTTGTGCACTTTCCAGGGTGGAAGAACACCATCTGAGTATTGTATTGAGATGCTGCTCCATATTAAAGGGACACACTAAGGTTGAGTTGTTTTCGGTCTTTTAAGTATCTTTGATGATTTTTTTTTATTTAAAGCTACAGTTGATTTTTTTTTTCTCTAGTGAAAAAGTAAAAAAAAAAAGATTTACTAGAAAAAATATTTTTATTCGTGAATACTTAAGTATCGTTTTATTAGAAGATAAGATGAGAAAAGATCATCTAAGATGACATAAACATAAGAAACATTCGTATACTCAAAAGAAGTCAAATGATCAATATTAGTAGTATGAGAAGAGATATAGAAAGACTTAAAAAAGATCTTAATGGAAACTATAAATAAGGAGTTAAGTATTTTGAACTTATTTACATATCTAAATAACTAGTAATTGATCCCAAATAATTAGGACTTATAGTTTTATTATTATTGATGATGATGAAAAGGTAAAAAAGGAAAAAAGAAGAAGAAGAAGAAGAAGAAGAGAGAAGCTATATTGAATTTTAATTCTATAGTCAGGTAATATTAGTATAATGTCAATATGATATGGATCAACTTTTATCAAACTGATGTTGTTTTACTATTACTACATTTATTTTTCTTCTTTTTTTCTTGAAAAGATTATTTCTACAATGAAGTGGACACAATTTGTCATATTATTGTGCATTTGGAGTTGAGCAAGCATAAATGTGATTCCAGGAATTGCATGGAGTGTCATTGGAAGCCAAGTATATGCTGGTTCTTATACATGAGAATTGAATCAGCCTGTTGCTGCATCAATCAGCATGCTACAGAATCTTTGTGCACTGCAATTTGCTGCAGGTATCAGGGAAGTCTTACCGGTGATGGTTCCTTGGAACAAGGTTGAACATGTGAAGCCTGCAGGAGAAATGTGCAGAGCAAGTGTACTCGTAGTGTAAATGCTAATGGTGCCGAAAGCTAAAGAAAAGTTTGAGTTCCTTCTGAACAAGATTCTCATGTTCAGGTTTAATCTGCATCTCGAGGTAGTCTTCTTCCCCTGTTTCAGTCAAGTTTGGTGCTTCCCATGAATAAATAACTACAATAATCTGCACAGATTCTGATCCAACATATGCCTGCTCAGTCTGGAGCGCTCTCAGACAGCAGCTTGTACTGTAATCTATTTCTTTTCGAGCTCCAGTTGGAATCCAAAGTGGAGCTCACACAGCAATGCAGTAAAAAGCTTGAGAAGTACACCGATCCGGTTGATCTCAAAGCACCGCACGTGGAAGCACAATGCAGAGTTACAGGCTCAAACGTCACATGCAACCATTGATGAGCAAGAAGGAGAAGAGTAGTTTTCTTGCTGAAATCCTTCGACAATGGCAAGAAGAAGAGCACAGTCAAAAAAACTATCTCATAGTCTATATGGATCTGTGACTATTTACATGGAGCTGAAGTCTCGCCATGACATTGGCAGGAAAAAGAAGATGAAATGGCTAATCATGCCAGCAGAGGAGCATGACGACGCAGCGTTGGATGATGTAAAGCCTGGCCTTTTGCTGTCGCAGCGCCCTGCTGAGCCCTCCTCTCTGCGGCACCTTCCCATGGCTCCTCATCTTCATGCTGGCCAACACGTTGAAGTACCGATTCCTTCGTCTCTTTCAGCACTTCAGATGGAGTGTTTGCAGCTCGGTGGCTTTCTTTGGCAACGCATGGAGGGCTTATATAGGAGGAGGAGGGGGGGGAGGGGGAAGGGTGTGGGGGAGCAAGGAGGTGGTCCGACACCCGAAGCTCTCGCGTTGGCAGGAGCGTGCACCGCGCCCGTCCTCTGGGCCAGCGGCCACGCTCCCTGGCGGCCGTACGCCCTGCGCCTCGTGAGAGTGTGGAAGGCCCGTCCACCCGCATGTGCGCCCTTGCCACACTTGCACGCAGTTTGATGAGTGTGGACTGTGGACGGGACGGAACTCTGGAGCTCTTCTGTATCTTAATCCCTCTCCGCCTCTCTCCACTTTGACCATAGCGAGTGGTTTCATTTGCCTCTGTAAAAACGAAGAACAAGAACTATGTTCTTCTCCTTTCTTCATCCTTTTGGAAATCTAAACAAAAGTTCTATATATACACAATTGTTAATGATGCAGTAAATGAAGCTGTTCGGCAAAACAGTACATCTAAAGATTCAACAACAGGTATGCAAATAAGCTGCAGGCCTCATGATCACTCTCCGGAATACAACCATTGAGATTCCATTAGCTGCAATCTCTGGTTCAGCAACTCCAAGAAAAGAAAGCTCACAACTCCCGCAACACCAGCTGGAGAACACTTAGCACTCAATCAAAGGTTTCATATATATCTAATCACAGCTTAGCTCATCGCACACTTCTTCATAGTGGTTGCTTTATATGCTTGTTTGGGTCCTCTGCTTTCACAGACACAAATCGTCATGTTGCCCTTTGAGATGGAGTAGAACTGTTGCCACAGTCTCTCAAAGAACAAGTTGGTGTAGACTGCTTGGCTCTCAACACCCCTTCGCTCTTATTTGGGCTACAAGGCATGTCTGTCCCTCCGCTGCACTGTGATGTTAGACTTTTACAGGCTTTCAAGATAGCCGAAGAGTCGAAGCTTGAGCCGTTTCATCGTTAGTTAACTCGTTTCTGAAGTCGCTTTCGTTCTCGTGATTGTTCTCACTCAGTCGTTAGTCGTCACCAAAGTCGTGCTCAGAAACACTTGGCGAGGGTTAAAAAGAGTGGGAATCGACTCCCCAACCAATTCGAACCGAGGCGAAGAGAGCAAGGGAAGCAGAAGTGGCACCTCGAGGTCCTTATCGTACATGCCGGATCTATTGATTCTATGAGGTTCTCGACGCTCTCCCGAGCGGAGCAGTGGTTTCTGATGGGAGAATGGTGAAATATTTGGTCGGTCTCGCTTAGGCTTTCTTGTTGACGGCGGAAGGGAAGATCTCGGTCCGTTTTCGGGATTCGCGATTGTTTTCTTGGGTCGAAAGTATGAGGGGAAGGGCCGGTGATGACGGCAATCTATTCAATTTCAAGCAGAGGAAGCGGTCCGGACGGAATCGGTGAGCTTCCGATCATCGGTTCATCTCCTCTTATTGTTTTCTTGGATTTCTGCTTGGAAAAGGCGAACCTTTTTGCGTGAATCTTCATAACCTTTCTTCTCCTCTTCTTCTTTTCTTGGACTTTTTGGGTGGAAAGTATAAGGTGAGAGCGTCTGGAGACGACGACGACGACCCTTCCAAATTGAACCGGCACTAGTGTTCTGAATCATCTTTTCGTTTCTCTTGCTGTTTTCTTGGATTTCTGATCGTTGAAGACAAAGCTCTTCGCGTTAATCTCAACGTGTTTTCTTGTATTCTTCCCTTTGTAACACACGGTTTCCTCTTTCTTCTTGAATTCCAGTGGTTCTCTTTGTTACATACGTGAATTTGCCTTCTCTTTATTCTAGCGGAAATGCTCAACTTGAAGCTAATTCTTGCTTTTCTTCTTGTTTCTATAAATTTGCCTTCTTTTTTCTTTCTTTCTTTTCTTTCGGCCATATTGCGAACCTGTTTATTTTGGTTTCAAATGTGGTCTAATGCATTGTGATGAAGGTCTGGGCAACACCAAACGTCGACTACATCAGCTCCAGCTGCGGATCATGGGTTACGTCTTCTACTTCCTATGTTAGTCTACTCCGTCATTGCGAGTGTCAAACATCCAAGGTTAGATTGTTGCATTTCCTTTGGCTTGTTATTGTTAATTTGCATGTATATTTATGTTCTTTTGAGGTGTATTGTTTCTCTTTTCTTTTCTGTACTTGTACAGAACATTTTTTTGACCGTCAGAAACATCTACCAAGTTTTGGGCTTTTACTTATTAAAGCTTGACTGTGCCAACATTTGTTGTTGGACTGATACAGATTCACACCATCTCATGTAAATATGGTTTCCAAGTTCAAACTCCTGTGTCATTGAGGAACAAGAAATTGGCAAATTGAGCACTGATGATGAAAGGCCACAAGCAAATGTTAAGTGAACCAACTCAAAGAAGCACATTATTATTACACGTGTATGAAGATACATCTCCAAGTGTTTGATACTCAACTTGGTTCAAAGATTAAAGTTGTTTAAAATCATACAAGAAGTTGCTGAGTTGCATCTCAGCATGAATAGGATATACTTCTTCAAACATAGCAATAACCCAAATTATTCTCTGCCAAGCATGTCACTCTCCTTCGCTGAGGATCGGAACAATCAGAGGTTTCAGCTGCGCAAGATAGACAATTGCCCACCTAGAAAGAAAAGAAAGTAATGTGGTAAATAGACAAAAGAAAAACACGATAAAATGATGCTGATCACAAAAAGACTATAAAAGACTTCCAACACCATCTCTTATGCTGATCATAAAAGAAAAAAAATCTCAGCTTATGTATAAGATCTCAAGTGGGGTGATAAACATCGCATGACAGATACGGCCAACCTATCATCTTCTTCTATTGCTCCATTATCTAGTTTGGCAGCTGTTTGCCTTAACTTGCATATATTATAAGTCATGCTCCTTTGTGATACTTTTTTGTGTTATATCAGCATTATGGGTAACTTATCTTAGATAACATGGAAGAAAAATAAAATGAGAAATCGAAACGATTCTCATTCATACAAGAATGTCATGACATAGAACGATATGCTAAAAGAAAGCAACAAGAACAAATGAGGAAACTTACATCATCCAACAGCAAACTGTTGCCGTGATGACTAATGTTAAATGAAACCTGCAAAACCAAAACGTCTTAAATCATTTCACATTTTCATACCCCACACAATAACCAATAATAATAATGTTTGACATGAAATGAAAATGATAAAGTATGAGAATAAAATGAACCTTCATTTGTCGTGCTTGTAAGCACCCTAAATTCCCTAATTAAATGCAACCCAAAACCCACCATCCAAATGTTGGAGTAGTGTCTAAAGCTTAGGTTCTTAAAAAGTGAATCTAAAATCAAAATCGCATTTTAAAGCTTGATGCCCCAAAAGTATTAACTGGACCCATAATTCAATGTCAACTATTGAGCTAAATTCATGTCAAATTGAATATAATTTGTCTCAAAGTTCAATTTATTATGAGTAGGAAAAATTAAAGTGGTTAATTTCACAGTTTTAAGGAGACCATACTCTTAGTAATAGCTAGGAAATAGCTACTGATATTGTTGACCACCTATAACCAGTGAAAGTTGGCACCCATAATTAGTAAAATAGTGAAATGGCATGAAGTGGACTGTTCTGGCAGCTGCTCAGCACCAGCGATGCTGTCAGAATTTGAATCTTTGCTTTAAAACTCATTATACAACAAGGCTTTTAGTAAAATGTTTGACATTTATCAAATTATCTGGTGAATAGATATTCCAACTATCTTTTAGGCAAAAGTCCATCAGACTTGAAAGATGTAACTCAGTTATGATTTATTTTTGCAGAAAGCAACTCTTCTTGGCTGAATCTTGGGAACAACAAGATGATGGGACAAACGAGATGTGCTGCTAACAAATTGTAAAAGGTTTCGTCATTAGTCAAATGAGCAATGGCTAGTTGAAGCTATAATATTCTCTATGTATAATTCATGGTCACCACAAATACCATTAAATTTGCTGCAGTATATTTTAATGGGAAAGGTTGAAAGACAGTGGCATCAATCAAAGGAGACTTTATCCACATAAAGGGAGTCCTCAGTCTTATAGTTTCTCTCTACTAATAATTTTAGGATTCAAATAGGTAAATCTAAACAGTAAATCATAAGCGGGAGGAAGTTGGTTGAAATAAATATTCCATTGCAAGTGATTATATTACAAAATAGAAAGAATAGAAACCGATGGATCTTACCTAGGGATGTCAATTATACCCGCGGGACTTACCCCCTAATGGGGTGGGGATGGAAAAAATAAATGGAGATGGAGGCGGGGATAGGGGGCACTTTATATACTCGCGCAAATACGGAACGAGAACGGGTAGAGCACTCTCTACCTGGTACCCTACCTATTAATATGCGGGTTGAGATGTTAGGACCAAACACTAGATGGGCCAAGCTTTCGTTATTCAAATTAGACTAGATGAACCTTGATTGAATCGATTATGATTCAATTAAGAACTATTCAGTTTAATTGAATCAAATGAAACATATTCTCATTTAACAGTAACAACTCATCCTCGTGGCCCCACGCATGCACACTCAATTCCTAATCGCAGGTGGCGCCACAGTGGTTGTTTGACTTTGTCTTTATCGGTCCTCTCTCCATCGACAAATGACGATTCCTCCAATGATCGGCGAGATAAACAATGAACAACAACAACGATTCCTCAATATTCCTCTCTCTTTCTCCTCCTCTTCCAATCACACATTGCCTTCTCCCTCCTCCCTCTTCTCGGCTTCCCCCTTCATCGAAGCACCCCTACCCCCTCATCACAACCATCACAGCTCACCCTGGGGCCCTTCCTCATCAAATTGCAACCCCCGCACCACTCCCCCTGCGCCCTTCCCTAGATTCTCCTCCATATTCCCCTTGCCTCTCCCGCCGGTTATGGTAATTTTGATTTTGTTTATATTTGAATATACTTTTTTATGTGTAAATTTTAATATTGTTAATTAGGTTTGATAGTAATTTTGTTTTTTTTTAACTGAATAAATTAATTAAAAGGATATAGAGAACCCGTGGATTCCCCGCCCCCAACGAGGATTCCTCATCCTTGCCCCTGCCCTTCTAAATGGGGAATGGGGGATCAAACGAGGATGGGGACGGGGGAGGCATTCTCCACCACACCCCTCCCCATTGACATCCCTAATCTTACCCTAAGCACTAATACAAATACTTGATTTCATAAGACTAATTCTAGCTCTCTATATTTCAAACTCTTTTACATCTCATTGCTAACCATAGGCAAGTCTTTTGGCAATATCTTGGGCTCAACACCGATAAAGGGAAGGACTCAAAACTTGACAGAGGTCAAAGACATGCAACCTATAGTTGATTGCTAGCACCACAAGGTAAACAGAAAGTCATCCATATAATCAACCTCTAACAATTCATCACTGCAATTTCCTGACTCTGATCTTTGGCTTCAATGTGGAGTCAGGAATCTGCAAAGTCGACAATGTCGAGAGACCATGTCATGAAGATGAATTTAAGAAAATTTGAAGGGTATATATATGGAAAAAGTTAAAGAAAATATTGGTTCTTGAAAGTGATAGAATAATAGTTTTTCGACCATTTAATGGGGCCTTCCCACATCTATGATTAGATCCTTTAAATCAACAAATACCTGCAAATGAATCTTAAAAACATTTTGCACAACATTTATTTATACTATTACCGGAGAAAGATTTGTTTTTTCTTCAAAGCAATTCAACCAAAGATCGCAATGCAATCTACAACATCATATCAGGGAAAAAATCGAAGGATCGCCATCTGGAGCTAAGGAGATCAAATCAAGTCGAATTTGACCTAATCAGGGATTTGTGGGGGGTTACCAGATGCCAGATTAATCGAATGAAGAACATTACAGATTGACAATTTTCAGATAATTTTGCTGCTGAATGCATAGAAATAGAGGAAGGGAAGGAAAGGAAGCGATGACGTACAGATTAGTGGAGGGGCCGCGGTTGCAGCAGAGGCGGACGAGGACGGAGGCGACAACGCCCGCCACGAAGAAAATGATGGTCGTCATCAAGAACCCCATCGGAAGACCCTTCCTCCCCTACGATTCGATCTCCTCCTCCTCCTCCGCTGCGTCGTGTCCTCTTTTCTCTGACCGGCCGACGAGGATGTGGGTGCTCAAATCCGTACCCTATAATTCATTGGATTCGGGTTTTGACTCAATTTGGGCCCTGATCTATGCCGGCCCAGTCCGCTGGTTTGACCCAACCCCTTTCCATTTCCCATTAACGCGATCTAAAGCTCAATATTGAATTTGAAAATACCTGTTGCCGCTCTTTTTCCTCCCTGTCCGTGGAGCCCTAGCTGTCCCCGTCTCCCATCTCTCTCGCTGCTCTGCCGACCTCTCGGTGGCCAGCAAGAGCCGTAGGATCAGCCCAGCCAAAGGAGCAGGAGAAGCGACAGCAAAGCCAGCAGCGGCGACCACAGAGATAATGTATTTGATCAGTTCTTTTCATCCTCCAATCTTTCTTTGGTTGCATAGTAGATCCTTATATCTCACTTTGGATCTTTTCGCGAGCTGTGTTTCTTCTCCCTTCATTTTGACCTAATTTTTGGTTCTGCAACGCGATTGATGTAGTTTTCTTCCAAAAAAGTTCCCTTAGTAAGCATTTGATGTGGATCCTCTCACATCTTGGATTGCAATCTTGCGTCCTTATGCAAAAATCAATGTTGTTCTTTAAATTATCAACTTAGCTCTCAGTTTTTGTAGCCATAGGAGTTAGTATTGTCACAAAACAAAAGTCTAGATGGTGGGGAAGTATCCATAAAACTGATTCCAGATGTGAAGGCAAGAAGCTTGTTTTCAAAATCAAACAAGGGTCATGAACAAGGCCATCATCTTGTTGATTCATTCATTCCTATATCACTAATTGATAGTTAACGATAGTGTGCCATCATCTTGTTTCGTTTGAGTTTGATTGGTTTTGTTGGTATAATGTATCTGTTCATCATCTTAAAAAGTCGATGTTACTGATATGAGAGTCAAGATATAGTTAACTGCTGAAAAATACATTGAACAATTACATTGTAGTGAACTTAGTTGAAGTTGATGAAGTGTTTTTGCATTGAATTTGTCATATATGTGGTTGCATAAGTCCCTTGCCACCGCCTGTGTCTAGGGATAAGTTTGCCGGTCTATTGTAGTTTGCAAACAACATTGTTATGCACTTCTGTTATTTAGAATTCCAGATGATCAAACCATGCATTTGCTGAAGCATGCAAGCCAGGTGCATTGGATGTTCAATCTAATAGAATTTTTGGTCACCTACTTCTTAAAATGATGTGAACTTAACGTACTTTTGAGTTAGTATTATAGATATGAAGATGACACAATATTAACCGTCTTGTTATACAGTTCTTTAGAAATTTCAATGTCGTGTGCACTTTGGCCTATGAAATTTTTGGGTAATATAGTTGTGCTACATTTGAGTTGCAGCAAATGGCACAAGCAGCAAGGCTGAATCTGAGGCTGCAGAAGGAACTTAAGCTGCTCATGACTGACCCACCTCATGGAGTCTCCCTTCCTTCACTGTCTGATAACCCAAACCTACCGTCTGTATCACTTTTAAGCATTGAGGCCCGTAAGTTAATATATTTTTTTTGTCAAATTTGATGTTAGGTTCTTCTTTTGATGCTGTTTGTTGGGTGACTTCGTTTTTTCTTGGAATACAGAGATTGAAGGACCTGAAGAAACTGTATACTCCAAAGGCATTTTCACTGTCAAGATTCAAGTACCTGAAAGGTGTCTGTAACTTTAGTTATCTTTGGTAGATCAAAGAGTGTTTTTCTCATTCCTCACTGTTTGTCTCTGTAAAAAAATTTCTGGTAACAAGATTGAATCTATTTGAATGCAGATATCCTTTTCAACCACCGAATGTGACCTTTGTTACACCAGTTTACCATCCCAACATTGATAATGGAGGCCGCATTTGTCTTGATATTCTCAATCTGCCACCAAAGGTGCATGATATAATCTAAATTGCTATCTCATGATGCAAGCTACAGTAGGTTTTTCCTTATAAACAAAATTGCATGTGTGAACTTTCAAATGATCATATTTTCATGTATGTGTTCACAAGGTCTTACATGTTCTTTAGATACTCAAAAGTCCAATGAGCTTTCAGAAGTGCCCTTCATGACTATTAGTTGTTCCCATCTAACAGTTGACCAGACTTTTCTGCTACCTCCCTTCTATTCCCTTCTTTCTCTCACCCTCACATGTCCTTCCACATGTGTGTATTCCTTTCTTTACTTCCCATTTGCCTTCTTTCTCTCCTATTCTCATGGTATTTCTTCCTTGTGCTCCCATTTGTTTTTTGGTCGGGCCTGAGTAGCATCAAAAGACAATGCATTGGCCACAGCAGAAGAGGATGTTAATGGGGCATGAAGAAAGTGGAAAGAATGTGTTTGGCTTGATATGCCCAATCAATTATTAAGCAGGGGTAGAGAAAAATCAGCCAAGTTGATGAAAGCTCTGAAGCTATCATCAATTTATAGTAATATATATGTTATTTAAAACTTTCGAAGAATATTCATGAAAATTTTTATCCATAGGGTTGCATATCCAACTTCCCTTTTTCTGTGTGAAAATTAATGATGTGATACCTTCTTTGATATTGTTCTTTTCTGATCTTTGCCTGAGATCTGCTGTGTACAAAACATGACAAGAACTCTGATTTCACAGGGTGCATGGCAGCCATCAATGAACATTTCAACCGTCTTAACAAGCATTAGATTGTTACTGAGTGAGCCCAACCCTGATGATGCTCTAATGGCTGAAACTGTGAGTATTAGTGATGCCATACATGACACAATGTGATTGCAGCAATTTAATTCTTTTTTGTCTATCATTTTCTCAGAGCAGGGAATTCAAGTATAATAAACATGTCTTCGAGCAAAAGGCCCGAACTTGGACAGAAAGATATGCTAATCCTGGCTCTACAGGGAGAAGTAGTGATCATGCCCTTTCGACCAGCCTGAACGTGGTAATGGATAGCATCTATTTCTTTTTCTTCTTGATCCTATTTTGTTGAACTATAGTGGAACAAAAATGTTCAAGAAATCAACGAGAGACTTAGTGATGCTTCTTGCATTTCAGGCACCATTGGAACACATTCACGAAATTCCAGCCAACGATATCCACAGGAGGCACAAGAAGCTTCGCCTAACATGTCAAGATCTATCAACAAACCCAACAACACCTACTGGAATCAGCAACAATGATGAAAATCAGAATGTAGTACCTACTCAACAGCGATCTGTATCGGACAGGCAGCAAACAGGTTCATCTCGTTTTGAGTGGTCACTGTGTGCCAGTGCCACAATTCACAAAAGATCTCTTGATGAGCATGCTGAGGAAGCTGTGAAAGATGATCCCAAGCAGGTGGAAGCAAGTCCAGAATTCCTAGAGACGATCATCGTATCTGACAGTGAAGAAAGCGATGATGAAGATGATTCACCCTCACAATTTTTGCGAAAGAAAATAGTTTGAGATATTGTCTTAGCCTGAGCAGAAAAAAGAACAAGAAGCACTGTGAATGTACCACAATTCTGATCCCAAGCTCAGTTGTAATATACAAAGTTGTATTCAAATCTTTTGTTTTGAGGCATTGACATGATATATAAATCCAAACTCCAAAATGTTGCCATGTATACGATGTGATGCCTTTAGAACAACTATTTGGTTTCACAGATAAAACTGCACGCCCTTTCTATGTGGATGAGATACGTTACACCGTACACGAGACAGAGAGATAGATATGGGCTGGGCCATAATGTCCATTGGGCCGGCCCATTATCCAACCCGCCTTGAACGTGGTTAGAACAGGGAGTAGTGGAAGGGTTGGCAGTTACCGCTCTCAACTCCTCTGCCTTCAAAAGCGTACATTCTCACAGCATCTTTCAAAGACTTCGAATCCCTCACTACCTTCACCGTTATGCTGCTTCGATATCTCCTTTTGCTGCTGATACCATCGCCGGCGACGTCGCAGTCATGGCAACCAAGCGAGATTCCCAGTACTGCTACCAACAGTACGTCTTCTTCGAGATGTGCAACAACCGAAAGCCATTTTGCTCTGTAAGTGATAGACCTTTGGACTTCTGACGCATTTCCCTTTCAGCTGAAAGGCGTTGGAGCAGTGCAAAGAGGCTGGGAAACCCGCTAATGACCGGAGATGGGAGGCTTTTGGCTTGTTCAGGGATGAATCTGTTGTGCTTTGATAAGAATGGTACAATTGCGTGGATCGTCCCTTTCCAGTATACCTGCAGATTAGACGTAGCCCCGGTCAATGATGACAGAGGCAAGGTAGATCATAGCAATCTTGTTCTTGCAATATCCTCATCGAAGATGCGGAACTTCGATCAATGGATCGAGCAACAGGGGTTCCTTGATCTATAGACTAGTGTGAAGCAGTCATCAAATTATTTTGTTGTCATACCATTTTAACTTAATAGTTTCTGATAAATTGCATACTGTTAGATCTATTTGGTTGCGGAAGATCGGGTTTTGAGAATAACACCCCCAAATATTGGTCGTTCTGCATCCACAGTCGAAGTATTCTTTGGCACGAACTCAACCTTTGGTTCATCAGGGGAAATAATTGGAATTTCGATAAGCATCTTGTATGCATCAGTATTCGTTTCTGTAAGAAATCGAGGACTGTTTGCTTTACTGCCGAAAGGAGAACTTCTGTGGACTGCTGGGCCTATGCTTTATCGGTTTGGTTACCGTCAAGGCTGTAAGAGAAACATCACAGATTGCTACTTCAATTCAGTTCCTGTTGTTGATCAGTGTGAGGGGACTCTTTATGTAAGATTCTATGCCATATCTTTTTCTTGCTTCTAATAAGCTTGATATATGATGTTCAATCTAACTTGCTTCTTTACCCATATGTCAGTGGACAGTGGCACCAAAATTGTAATCTACTAAATCTGGCATTCTTATGCAATCCAAAATCATTAGATTGAGCTCATATTGGATTACAATTTTGTGTTCTTAGGAAATGGTCATAGTAGGTCACAAGAGCTCTTACCAATTAAACCTTTCACAAGCCTGTATCGTATCGTTCAATAGTGGTTGATTGAATGAGATATCTAGAGCTCAAATTCAGTAAAAAATTAGTATGACAGGCGAAGATGCATTGCTGAATTTGACTATTGATTGATAGATAGAAGAGACAAAAGTTGATTCTCTTTAATACAGTTTGTAGTTCTAAATATGCAATATAAAGTATATCTCTTATATATACAGCCTAATCTTACTATATACTGAAGTTGCTTAGTTGTGCTGTGTGCAGGTTTCGAATACTGAAGGACAGGTCTATTCGTTGTATATCCGCAGTCCTCACTTCAGATGGATCCAAGATTTTAGCTCAATAGACAAGAAGATCAATATCATACCTGGAAATAATGGGCATTTGTATCTAATCTTCCCAAGAAAGGCTGTACTCATGTCACTTGATGTTGCTACAGGAAACATGTCGTGGCGAAACAATGTCGGTCCCTTGAGTGCAGAAACCATCTTGCCTGTTGTGGATTCTAATGGTAAACAACCAGTCATATGACATTGAAAAATCTGTCAGATTGAATGTTCTAAGATGCCTGAACCGAAACCATTTCCACTCTCAAAATTCTTTCATTGTCATATTGATGTTCTAACATATTACTGATAGTTTGTCCATTTTACTGCAATGTATATAAGGCTGGCTATCGATTGGCTCATTGGATGGATATCTGTATTCCTTCTCCCCAGTGGGGGATCTGAAAAAGTTCCTGCAAAAGACTGCATCTGATTCAGTCATTCAAGCTACTCCAGTCCTGGACTGCTCAGGATTTGCAGTTTATGTGCCTCAAACAGTCATGGAGGGGAAGTCAAGCCGCGTGATTGGTGACTATACTTTCATCTCTGCACTAAAGCCACTAAGTATTGTGTTCACTCTACTGGCACCAGCTACAGGAACTGTTTATTGGGCTGACAACCATCATGGTAGATCTTAGTAATCTCATCTTCCTTTCGAAATATACAAGATTAACATTAATAGTACTATTGATCTTATATCAGGTGAAGTGTCATCCTTCTTGTCCAAGAGCGATCTACGCTACTTTGAATTGGATGACAGGATTCTTCTTACTGTTCTTTCTGCAGGAAGTGAGTCTGTTATCTATGTGGAACACATCTTTTGCAATCTTGTTCTCTCTGCCATCCTCTGAAGGTGTTTGTAGCTTAGAGAAGCGCTTTTACGTAATCTGAAATCTTCTGTTATTGCTCTAAGAAAATGTATTATCTTCCTTTAAATCTTATCCAACAAAAAACAAAGATTAGAGGGTTAATAGTGTCATATAAATTCATGTATTTGCTGCACAAGGGAAAGTGTCTTCCAAGAAAAGGATAATGGCTACTTTCTCCTGTTTCCTCTTCTTAGCTTGCAGAATTGTTCAGGAATTTGCACTGAAAAATTATCCTAGTGTGATAATTATCTCAGATGTCAACTGATCAAGAAAAAGAAAGAAAAATGCAATGCTTTGCCTCCTAACTTGGTGCTATATGTGAATGCAGGGATAGGCAGCAGTCTTCCATGCTATTCTGCAGGTAGCAGTCACTTGCATAACATCTTCACTTCTGATACTTCATCCTCATTTGATGTTGCCTCCTTCTCCTGTTTGTTTGATCAGGCCAAAGAATTGCTTGGACCTGCTCACAATCGAATCCCAGATTCGTCACCACCGATGCAGGTGAGGACAATCCCGCTTCTTGGTTCTGATTCTTCATGCGATTACCATCTTATTCTTCCTGCTAATTGTAGGCAATGAAAGAGCAGTCCTGCTCTTCCTGTTCTTCCAGTTTGCGATACTGCTCATCTTAGGCGGAACAGTGCGATCTTGCTGCGTCTTCTGGAGGAAGAAGAAGCTACAAGATCATGGTCTCGGGAGATTCCTCGACAAGAGGGTGAGTGATGTAAGATTCTGCACCCAGCACCAACTTCATCTCTTCTCACCTCACCTCCTCATCAAATGCCAGAGGTCTCTTCACAGAAGGAGGAAATCATTCGACAGGATGATCTCAGAGCTAGAGGAGAAGGCAGCTGAAGACGCCACCAACGACGAAGCACTGGAGCGACTGGGCGAAGCGGTGACAGCGAAGGAAGGAGTGGTGAGAAAGCTATCCACTTCTTACAGCCTCGGCAGGGACAGAACAGGTTCACGTCGGGGATCCATCTTGCCATTGTATGATGACGGGAGGAAGAAGAGCCATTCTTTCCACTGTGCAAGGAGAGAGAGCGTGACGATCTTTAACACGTACAGCGACACGTCCTCTTCGGATGAAAGCAGGAACAGCAGCAACTACCACCATGAAAGTGGCAGTGGCGGCTGCTCGGACGAAGCAGGGCCTTCGAGCAGAGTCGCTGCGGCCGAAGGAGATGGAGAGGGTTCATCGGACGCTGCTTCTGAAGCGAGAACGTTCGCAAATCCGATGTTTGTGGAAGACGCGGGTGACAGCGTTCGGCATTCGCGAGATGAGGAGCTCACGAGGGACCCAATGCAGGAAGGTGTGGGTGCGAGGGGAATGTGGTTGAAGCGGAGGAGAACACTGTCTTCAACTAATTGAGCTGTTAATTAACTCTACATTGAGAATGTATGTGTGTGTGTGTTTGAGGATGAGGAATCTAATGGAGATGTTGGCAAGTGTTTCTTTATTAGGGGTGGGGGAATTAAGAACACGAAGGATATAGGTAAAAGGAATAGGTAAATCATGTTCGTTTAAGGGAGTCTAACAAATTAGAAGATAAGATCGAACAAGTGAACATTATTATCAACGAAGGAGAATAGAATTAATGTGATTCCTATAACGTGAAGGTTATTATGAAAGTTACAATTTATCTTTTCATCGATCAAGGAAAATTGTTAAAGTAATTGGTTCAAAGAGATAAGAAAGTGATGATGAGTCTAGATATATGCTAGCTGCAAAAGTAGATCTATCGATTACAAAGAAAAAGATGTAAATACGAGACAATGGATAGTAGAACCATGAACATAACAACATTATAATTTCGTAGAAGAAGGATTTTCATGAAGTCATCAATTCTTTACTTTTACGAAGAGAGAACGCTTGATCGTGAAATAAGCCAAAGAGGTGAAGAATGTAGAAGTAAACTTCATGTATCGAGATAAGACTGAAGGACAGAGACCTTAAAACTTCATAAGATCAAGATCGATAAATTTCTCATCAAAATAGTCGAGAGATTCTTTTGACCATGTTTCGAATGGAAATTGTTTATCTCGTTCTTCCCATGACCTGAATACTTACTGTTCTCATCTACTTTCACCAAATTAAGCAGTCAAGTTTTTATAATGCTTGAAGGATTACCTGATGAAGAACTCTGCGATAAATGATCGTGTCCAGAAGCAGCAGCTACACAATGTTCAGATCGCTGGTGTTACGTTCATGCAGAACATAGCATAAAGTGAAGCATTAGGTGATGAAAGGAAGTTGGAGCGAGCAAGCAGCAGCAGCAGCAGCTATTTCCATCCAAATCCCAAATTTTGTAGGGACTTCTCCATGTTCCAAATGAATACTGTTCATCAGATGATAATGCACAAACTGATTGATTTATTACCACCGAGAAGATATTATCAAATGTAAAAATATAAATTAAATTCTGGTTTACAATACCGTTTGATATAGTTCGATCAGAGTAGTGTTTGTCAGTCCGACAATCTATCGATACATAAACATGGTATAACTATAGGTTCATACCAAACATAGAGCTTGTATCGAGCAATATATGATTTATATCAGGTAATATTTTTTAATATTTTTTTTTTTAATTTGATACATATAATATATATATAATATACATATATATATATATGTATATATATACATATATACATGCATACCTACATACGTGTATATATATATATATATATATATATATATATATATATAAGCTAAATGATAATGTAACATACAAGGGATGTCTTGATTAATCTAAATCGGTCTGACTTCGTTGCCAAGTTAAGGGGAGACTTGACTTGACTGAGATAAGCCCGTCGAGAAGGCTTGGCCTTCAAAATAAGTCTGTTCCTTTCTGTTTTGTCCTTCGTTGTTCCTTCTTCTTCGGACTGACTTCTTATCTTTCAGTCTCCGACATGTACAGTTCATTGTTCCTTCTTCTTTGGACTAACTTCCTCTTCTTCTTCATCTTTCGGTCTCAAATATTTTTTTCATTATTCCTTCTTCTTCGGACTAACTTCCTCTTCTTTATCTTTTGATCTCCGATATTCTTCTCTTCTTCTTATCTTTCAATATCTTCTTCTTATCTTTCAATCTCCAAAATATACAGTTCATTGTTCCTTCTTCAGACTAACTTCCTCCGATTCTTTTTCTTCATCTTTCAGTCTCCGACATATATTCTTCTCTTCTTCTTATCTCTCAGTCTCCGACATGTACAGTTCATTGTTCCTTCTTCTTTGGACTAACTTCCTCTTTTTCTTCATTGTTCCTTCTTCTTCGGACTAACTTCCTCTTCTTCTTTATCCCATATTCTTCTCTTCTTTCTTATCTTTCAATCTCCAACATATACAGCTCATTGTTCCTTCTTCTTCAGACTAACTTTCTCCGTGTTCCTTCTTCAGACTAACTTCCTCCGATTTCTTTTTCTTCATCTTTCGGTCTCCGATATTCTTCTCTTTCTTCTTATCTTTCAGTCTCCTACATGTACAGTTCATTGTTCCTTCTTCTTCGGACTAACTTACTCTTCTCTTCTTCCATCTTTCGGTCTCCGATATTCTTCTCTTCTTCTTCATCTTTCAGGCTCCGACATGTACAGCAACATGTATCAGTACATCGGTACAATATCATATTAACCGCTACATACAAGTCCAAACAGGATCCAGTTGGTAAGAGACAGCAGTACTTGCTTGAAAGCACATCTACTAACAAAACAAAGTATCGAACAGGAAACAACTATATGTAAAATGAAAGCAGAGATGGATATGAATCTTTTTTTTTAAGGCGAACGAAAAAACAACTCATCATTACCAAATACACATTTTCTTTACAGAAAACAGAAGGCACCGGTTTATAAAAGATGACGGCCCTCTGCATATTTTACTTACATTTTGCAAGCCAAAATAAAGACAACAAGAACTGCACAACCACACAACTTTATACAGTTTTTTTCTTTTATTTTTCAGGAGGATGGGTCAAATAAAAGAACAATCAACTTCAAGAAAAACACACACAGAGATCTGTTGGTTCTCTCATACTGCATAGATAGTTCACATGCTCCTAAGGAAGCTTCAAGTTTCTGAACACCTCTACTTCCTGATAACTACTGTCTTCTTCTGCACAGTATATCATCTTCTATGTTGTGTTATTATATACAACTCAGAGTTGGGTACAACCGTACAAGTGTTTTCTGCTTCGTGCTCATTACCCAACTGGCTCCTCCAAATCTGCCAACACCGTGAAAGTAATTTTGTATCTCCATAACGAGATATCCTTTTCAGATAACGTCACCTGCTGTGGTCAGATGCGACACAGAAAAGACGTTTCATAATCAGAGAAGCATAGAAAGCTATGAAAACATAGCTAGGTTTTCAATACGTTCACGACGGACTCCTAATATTCCAAACAACAGACTGCATTATAAATATAAGATTTGGTTGATAGAGATAAACAAGCATGACTCATTTCCGTGAAGCTTGTGCTTCAATTGAGAGAGATGAGACATGATTTATACTTGAGAAATGGAAAGAGTCAAAGTACATGGATCTGCTTGTCCAATTTCCTTTGGACCCAGAAGCCATTTAAGAAAGTGACTAAAAGCATCCAAAGGTCACAGGAGATATCTCAGTCAAGCTCTCCAAGTTATCCGAGACTCTTTGATGTCTTAATGTAGGCCGAGAACACAGAAGTAGCAAAATAAGAGAAAAATCTAGGAAATGTTACATTGCCGAACTGAGAGCTTCATGACTCCTGTCAGGGAGCATCCAAAGGTCACAGGAGATATCTCAGTCAAGGAGCTCTCCAAGTTATACGAGACCCTTTGATGTCTTAATGTAGACCAAGAACACATAAGTAAAAAAATAAGAAAAAAATCTAGGAAATGTTGCATTGCCAAACTGACAGCTTCATGACTCCCGTCTCTCCTCCTAATTCCTCTAGCAAACCTTACTAATATGTAGTAGAAATCATCATAACATGGTCTGTGATCCTAACAGGTCCCGGTAACCTGTATAGGACTACATTTAAATCCTAATATTGATTTACCCCAAGAAATTCTGATTACCTTCTGGCTTATATAGTGAGTTTCATTGGATATATAGGCTACTAAAAGAAGGCGATCTGAGGCTTGAACATCCAAAACAAATTGAAATAAATTTAATAGAAAAGAAGAAATATCTTCACCTTTGATGGCTCTTGGCAATGAGATCTCATGAATTTCTTATGTCACTTCTGAGGGTCTCACTAGCAGATGCATGACTTTCAGCTCCTTCACCATCACGCCTGGCAACCTTCAAGACCTTGTTTTCAAGCGACAATTCAAGCTCTCCTTTTCTCTTTTGTTTAGTTCGACAGGCCAATGCTTGAGATGCTGCAACCGCACGCACACTGAAAGATCTTGAAAGTTGAAATTTAATGAATGGTAATATGCAACTTGGAAATAACATAAATTTATGAAATAGATTGCATACATTGTGGAGTGTCTCAAATTGTAGCGCTTTAATCCTGGGATTTCTGTCCCAGGAATATTTTCCATTTGAAAGCAACATCCTAGTGATGATACATCCTCAGTGTGAGCTTCAGCACATTCTCCTTCAAGACTCATCATTCCATATTTAAGATCAAGGCACCTCTTCTTAGAACATACTGTTACTTCATCATCATTTAAAGAATATTTTTCTTCAAGACACTTATCCTTGATAAGACATTGTGCTCTGCAAGTTGACTGTTCACTGTGTTTAATTTGAGAGGCCTCTTCAAGGTTGGCATCCTCAACAAGTGCATTAACGGAACGTGACTTTTTAACAAGTATGGACTTCCTTCTCACACTGCGACCAGACTGTTTCTGTTTCAATGGCCAAAGCAAAGAATTCAATTCAGGACGGATAGAACATCCCTCCCTGTACTTTTGTTCATCCACAGAGTGTAAAGTTGGCTCTTCCAAGTCCCTTACTCTATCATTTAACTCAAATATCAAAATATCTGCAGACCTATCTGCAATTTGAGAATCTCTTTTTGTGGCATCATCATCATTGTTTGATCTTTCTGGTTCTGCATTGTACTGGACTCCACCGGCAGACTGAGCCCACTGGAAAGCATTAACATCTCCAGGCAGTGGCCCAGGCTCAAGATTGTCTTCATGCTCTAAAGGTTCTCCATCAAGACAAACAGACTTTTCACTGTGTTCTGTAGCTTTTTTACCAGGAGAAAAATTCAACAATCTCGAACATCTTTGCATACATGGTATTCGTGCTTCCAGTTTGACAGATCCAGGGCAAGTTCCCTGATCAGATACTTCAACACTTCCACCTGACAATGCTGTGTCCCCTCCATCCTCAAATCCACAGTACCTGCAAGCCTTAAGCTGCTCAGCTGAT